TGGCTTCGCAGTGTCCTCTTAACAATAATGAACCACAAGCTGTTGCAAAGCAATGTGACTTTCTGTGTGATACAGAAAGCAAGTAATCTTATAATGTTCTTTATTTTAACGTTTTGCTTGGCTGCGTAGTATCTGGGCTGGGAACCACCGCATGTGTACCAATAGACTCACTCTGAATATTTGTATACTGTCACTAATAACAAAACAATAAAAAATTAAATAAATAAGAAGAAATAAACAATTATTTAGATTTCGTTTTGTGCCCATCACAATATTGCATATATTTTTAGGTTTCTTGGCTTCGTGCGAACGCTCGAAGCCTGATGTGCGGCCGCAAATAATCAATGAACTTTCGCTTTGGGGGAAGACCCATGAACTCTCTTCCGTTTTAAAGCTTTCAAAGCTTATATCTTTCTATAACTGCGTTATGCTCCTGGGCCAATGTGCAGTCAGACAGTGTAGCAACGACGCATGACATCAACTACTTCTTGAATGAACGTGTTCCATTCTTTTATTTTTTTTTTTTAAATTTTACCAGAAAACGGTGACCGACTGGCGATGGAGCAGTTTGTTGATATGTTTTTCGAGACTTCGTTTAGTATATCTAGTACAAGGGCATATACGAGGAGTTTATTTTTTTGAACGGGAACATAATAAATAAAAGGTGAACCGGATATTTCATCAAACGCCGCGTCATCGAGCGTCGATTCATCGAACACCGTTTCATCTAACTTTGGAGCATTATAGTGCTTTCAAGATGCTTTACTCTTGTTTCTGAGTTGTTTTCCCGCTGTTGTCAAATCACCAGAAACAGATTTACTAGCCTGGTCACTTTTTCATTAAAAGTGTGGTTTTTGAATCATAGAACATAAGAATAATTGAGTGGGAATATGACTTACGGTTTTCAGGTAAGATAAGCCGTGGTACTCCATCACATACATTATTCCCTGTTTAGACATGAAAGGTACATCCGAAAGGGAATATGGCTGTTCTTCTCTGCGGCTTTTTTTTATTTTCTATTTATCTCTTTACTTCGGTTTTCGATCTGTCCTAGGAGAATAGCTTTCGTTCTAAGGACGTAGGTCGAAAAGCCGTCATGTCCACGACTCTGCCATTTACGAAAATAAACAAAGAAAGGAGGTACATCTTTTTTTCTCCTTCTTGCGACAATGAGACATGTCATCGCTTTAAGGACGACTTCGTGCTTGAAACAGAAGACGTCTTTTCAAGGACAAGGGTACAGCCCTGAAAGGACATACCTTCTCACTGTTCCCGTTAATTACAGGTTTCATGAAATGTCACTGCGGTGCTCCCGTATATTATTGGCCACATTAGAAATCCAAATCACCAGTTACATGAAGAAAAAAAAAATCAAAGTTGTAAGGGAGAAAATAAAGTTTCCCATCATTAGATCTATCCCCTCCGTAAGAAAATAAAGGTCTGCTATTCTTGTCATGTTAGAAAAACAAGAATGATTTCCTACATCAAACCTTCCTATTAGTCAACTAGGCGGTATTCGATAAAATTGGTTCGTGGAAACGGTGTTCGATGAAATGGCGTTCGATGAAACGGCGTTCGATGAATGATGTCGGGCCCCAAAATAAAGGCGCTGCAAGTGAAAAATTATTCCTTCGAGATAACTTCTTTTCATCGCCGCAGACGCAATATAGAAAGTGTAAAATGATGACTAAATAATTAATTACACAAAACACACAAATTATCTTCTTGAGATATTCGCTTAAGCCCGAATATTCCGACTACAACTTTGTTGCCCGTAGCTCTGCACCCGTGCTATATTTCATTTATAAAATGAAGTATGCCTATTAATCTCTAGACGTTAGACATGTGGCTGGAATCAAATAGTGCTACGTCAGGCATAACCTTCGCAGTGTTATATAGAATCAGCCGCGACAAACCGGCTTTTTTCGGTGTTGAAGCTAGGGATTGCACCCTGCCATTCAAGCCGAAGCAGTATTAGCACAGCCCTAATAACCTACGTATAACTTGTATGAGAACTTATCATCTTTAAATCGGAAGTATGTAAAATTGCAGTTCGAATCGAATAGGGTGATGCCATCCCTAGCATTAATAACACTGTAAATACAGCCGGTTGTCCTGACTTTTTCTGCCACTGTGAAGGTTATGAAGGGCTATTCCACTCGAACCGGCATTCGTACATCCCCACTTAGAATCGATTCGGGCAAAGACCATGTAGACCTCGAGTGTCTTATTGTTCTTTGTTTTTTTTTTTGTTGTTGTGGCTGTTATGATGCATTTTTCTCGGAATTGTCATAGTCCGTGACTGCTCAAAAATGTGGGGTGTGGCTTAGAGAGTGTTCACGCTTCTAGCTTCGTGATCGGTTCTTCGGGCGTTCTTATCGGCTGATTCGGCAATCTCATTGGCTGTGGAACAATCTTAAGACGCTCGAGACTCGCCCCGCCCTGAGTTTCTTAAGTTGTCGGTGACCATAGTGTCGAACACAATGATGATGATGATGCGGATACAGGAAACTCATTTCGATCTTTTTGTTTCTTTTTCTCTTTCAGTTTGCCAGGAGAACGAACACAGGTGTCGCTGCGGGTTCCCTCGGTGCATAGGCGCCGAGAAAGTCAGCGATGGCGTCAGGGACTGTCTGGACGGCTCCGACGAAGGTAGGTTTCCCTCTTTTACGGGCCGCGGGAACATGGCCTGCACGAAGTTTCAGTAGCCGAGTAACAACATGGGCGCGATTCCGTGTACATTATGTACAATTGGAGAAAGTTCGTTTTTTCTTGTAATGTGCAAATTTCACTAAAAATAAAGTAATATAATAGCTCACATCGTACGCACAAATGACTCGCGAGCTTTAATGACGTCGATGTTAAATTAAATATACGGGGTGCTTCATTTTCAGTCGAACAGACACAAACAAAGTCGTAAAAAATGCACTAATACGGTTTGTGCAGGGGTGTTATACAACCACGGAGACATTATGCAGGTCGCCAATCTTTGCGGTAAGTCGGTTAACTAATTAAAATTCTATGATTAACTTTTTAATTCGTGAAACAGACATATGGTTTAAATTAGAAACTTACTGAGCGTCATCGAAAACCACTTCCCACGATATTTAAGTCGTTTTCAATTGGGACGATATGTGTATTTTTACCAATAAAACACTTAATGAACGAATTTTAATTAATTTGCCGACTTATCGCAAGGATGAGCCACCCACATAATGTCCCCCTGACCGTAAAGCTTACCTGCACAAACCGTATTAGTGCATCTTTTACGGATTTTGTGTAATAAATCTGTTCGAATTAAAATGGGACACCCGGTATAAGCTGGATTCTGGACTTGTACAACTACCCGCTGAAATTTTCTACACAACAATGATTTGCTTGGCTTTATACATTTTAAACAAACTACTAGGGATATATTCGGTTAATAACTGGACTATCCAAGGATTGTAAAAAAAAAAAAAAAAAAAAACTTACAAATTTGTGAAAAAACAAACAAACAATGAAGGCAACGAGTACACCAAGCCCAAATTCATACCGCAGCTTTTCTGGGCCTAGAGATAGTGGATAAGTAGTTTTATTTTATTCGCAATGTGCTATTAAAAAAAAAAAGAAGAAAAGATTTAGCTTTGAAACTGTCACACCTTAATATTAAATTTTCTTTTGTATTCTATTTACTATTCGCCACAAACTTTGCGATAAATAGTTATTTGAGACAGATACACCTTTCCCCAAGTAAGGCTGTTGCTTCTCAATGGTAACAGTGTAACACTTCAGAATGGACGAGCCTCGATACCACACATTAAACAAGCTCCTTCTTTTCTCCGCGATTGCTAGCTGTATGTACTCACGAGCGTGAGAGGTTTCCTTACCTGGTGTAAGAAAGAACCGCCCAGGCGCCAGAAGGAGCGTCTTGGGAAGTACACAAGGGCTCACTTTAATTCGCAATTTAAAAATTTAATCACAAAGCCTTCCGGAAAAAAACAAAACAAACAACAACAGATATTAAGCGTTTATTTTGGTCCAGAATATGGAAGATCCCGATTTCTGCAATGTGCGCCATCAAGAGGTTGGTATATAAGGAAACTTTAGAATTAAAAGGGACATTTCCGCTCCTACACTCAACATGCGCTTTTAGATCTAACGGCTCCCTGAAACACGCCTCCTAATGGCTTTTTTGAGTGGCGACGGAAAAAGTTGAAAAGCTTTTATTTTTTCCGAATTGCCTTCCACGTGCCTTGAGAAAACGTAAACCCACTGGTATATTTTTAGAGTTGTATTGATACGGATTTACCCACAGAGCAATAAGTAAGAAACAAGCATTTGGTGGACCCAATTGTAAAAAAAAAAGAGAAAAACATGTAGCTGTAGAATGTCGCAGTTACGACAACCCAAGGAAGAAAGTTGTATCTCGGCAAGTGACTGTGCTCCATCGGTGTGTTTGCGAGTTTTGCCTACCAACTTTACTAGAGTGGCGTGAATAAAGTAATGAATTTGTGCAGTCGCCGCACATGCGAAAAGCGTATATACACCAATGAGCAAAAAAAAGAAAAAAAACTGCCTTGCACTTTTAAAAAATAACGTGAAAAACGACGAGTTCGCCATTTCACGAGTCGAGTCACTCAATGCCTAATATACTTCATTACACGTTGTTTTCAAACAGGCGTCACGCTGGAACTGTGTGTACGAGAACCTGTTGATATAAGATAATTAGAGCGATCGCCGCTGGCTTTGACGAACTACATGGCGTGTTTGGCTTCAGCTTAACGATATTACACCAAGAAGATAACTAGCGGCACATCGCCTGCTACACAAGTGCTTCCACTGTATAAGTGCGCGTGCCGTTGAGGCACTTTTCAAAAGCCCTTCTGCAAACCTTTGCCGTGTGCGTTTTGAAAAGGCGTTCGCGGATACGCGTGAGCGTGTGCGTGTCCTGATGAAAATCACGTTGGGCTTTGGCAGACAAAGAGAAAGGCAAGGCGTACAAGTGTCCCAGCGACAGCTCTCTCCAAGACCTCATGGCCATGGAAAGACGCCGCCGCTCAGGTAGGCCCCTTCTCTCCCGTTGTTTTGTTGGCCATCGTAAAACCCGCGTGCTCTCTTTCTGCTCAATGCCAGGCCGATCCTTGTTTTGTAATCTCACTTTTTTTTGGCGCATCCGCGGAGAAGGGAAACCCTCCAACCCGAAACTGATATTCGAACCTGCATTAACGGCGTATCCCCATTCCCACTTCGGCATGCAAATTTGTTTAAGCATCCCCTGACAACTACTTCCAAGATGGCCATTGAGCCGTGACTTGAATAACCGCCATAACATTGCAGCGGCATCGGCGTCGTTGCAGCGGAACGTTCGGCAATAATTCGGGCGTTCATTACGGCCCGCGACGCGCTCCCATATAAGAGAGGCTTTCTTTGATTATTTTTCTTCTCGACAGTGGGTGATTGATCCGTGAACTGTAGGCTTGGAAAGCTGAGCGAAGATCACCGTTTAAAAAAGGCCCTTACTATTGTCTTTTATTTGGAGTAGATTTACGTTCGAAAAATATTTGGAAATATCGAGCAACCCTTTTTTTAGGTTCACTTTAATTTTTAATGAAAAAAATGGCTCGTTTTTTCAGCCTCACCTATTCCAGACCGTTGTTGCAAAGTTTCAAGAAGGATAGTGGGGATTACTTAGAATGTTCTTTATATGAAAATAGTCTGTCTCGAACTTTGTATTCAGGTTGAAAATGCGCAAATACTACACTCCGAGTTGTTGGCTCTGTGGTAACATTGCTAAATTGTAAATATATTATCTCCAATAATTTTATTGGATTTTACGCGCTGCCAGTGACTTGCGGCCAGCCAAGCCTACAGTACAGGGCACACACGCTCACTGTAGTTTTTGATTGAGCGGGCTGCGAGAACGTCGGGGCAATCAATCCGCAAGTGTTCCGTTTCAAATAGATTAGATGGCAGAAACAAAGACTCGAATTTGGCACTGACGAGTGCTGTGCTATTTTTGTATGACCAGACTCAGAACGGCGGAGAGGGTCGCGACATTCGGGCCTTATGACATACACCGTGGGAACCGACGCCCAAGCGACGGAGGAAGAAACCGCTGCTCTGGTTCAACCCACAGGCCTCATGGCAACGCTCACTCGTTCCGAAGTGCACGGAGAGCAGACCACGATCTACACCACTGATGTCCGGAGGCAATTTGTTGATGGAACGTACACACAAGTACTGTCCACCCACTCCAGTGTGCTTGAGTTAGCACCGTCCCTCAATGAAGTTGAAGGCGCTTTCCACCAAAGGGGACGGCAACGACCACAGACTACCCATGGTGTAGAAAGTTTCGGATCCCTGAGCTCAGGCAAAATCTTTCAGACGGCTGTCAACGAATTGGCCTCGACGGTGACTACTAGAATTCACGCAACCAAAGTTCACCACGCATCGCTTCTGAAGTCGATTTCTGGAGACAAGTCAACAACCGTGCTGGGATTGAACATCAAAAATGGTCATGTGGGGAGCTTAGATCAACACCAAGACACTGAGGTTCCCGTCATTACTGTGACTGGAACGGAAGGACTTCTAGTTCAAGGAACCGGAACCGAACAAATGACGTACAAGGTTTTCACTGGAACGTACGTCAACAACGAAGGTGATGACTCGAAGACGTACATGTTCTTTTTCGGTAACCGACAACTTCCTGTAGAAGCAACGCCATCACTTCCGGAGGAACAGAAAAAAAGTGAACAATTCGACATCCGATCTGGAAATCAGAAAGGCGTTGTTTTCGACATCTCCCATAAAATTGGGGTAATTTTGCCATCACACACGGTGACCACCATAGAACCAACTGAAGCTCCACGTTCGGACTCTTTAATATTTGGCTCTGGCAATGCACACGGCGGCGAGCTGATGACCGGTATGCTGATCGAAGGTTCCGAGCCCATCACTATTGAAGGAATGACCCGCACCAGAACAGCTACATCAAGCACAATGCAAGTCACTTTGGACTTAGTTCCAGCGCAGTCTCAGCGCGATGTTGTCAGAGTAGCCTTGACGAAGAAGGCAACTCCTACGCTTTACAGACATGGACGAAAATTTCAACCGACAGCTACTGGAAGAAAGATTACACCGATGGATGGATCCACAATAATTACGGACAAGTTTTTTCTACCTCAGCACTTGGGGCTCTATACCACATCTCCCATCTCAGGGGTATCCAAGACGACTGATGAATTCTTTGAAGACGCCGACCATGACTACAACGTTCCAGAGCCTGTCCCAGAAGAGCCAGTTGTTATGGTCATGATGAGACCTCCGTTTAATCATAGACCTCTGGGCAATTTCAGACCCGAGCTGCTAACCCCATCTCCGATAAAAGACATTAGACCGACTAAAACAGTTGGTTCGCACCATGATGATTTTGCCGACGAAGTTGGAGACGTCTTTGCAACGGACGCTGCTTATGTTTTCAACAAAGACGGACAACGTCATGAACATGATGTCGAGAAGAAGAAAACAAGAATAACCTTGTTTGGATTTGTTGACTTCACTACATCGATTTCTGGTACTGAAGTGGTATTTCAACCAGCCGCCACCGGCGTCTCCTACGATTTTGGAAATACCAAGTATCCACAGCCTCAGGACATCTACAACCCTTTTAACATTCCGACTCAGAAAAAGCAAGAGGAGTCAGTATTATCATCCAAAGGGAAAAACAATCCTTACGGAACAGCGACGCGTGAATTTGTATCTAAGATGTCGATGCTGACATCTACATTTAAGGGAGGCGTCGAAATGCAGAGCACGATGTTCACATCAACGATTCCCATGCTTCTCAAATCACGCACACCAAAGTACGAAAGCTACACTCCGGATGAACAAGATCCACTCTCAAGTATTGTACCTGAACCCGTGACAGAAAACGAAGAGGAACTTGGGCACAGTGAACCTTCTTTTGACTTCGCTACTCCATCGTATCTTTTTAGTTCTCCAGAACCCGAACATTTGGCTTCAAAATACCTGATTGCGTCTGTGAGGGAAAGTTCAGAAAGCTCTATAGAAGAGCACATGCCTGTTTTGGAATCAGAAACCGTGATGGTGTCGATGATTGAAGGCTCCAAGACTGAAGACTTCACGAGCAGCCCAACTGAAACCGTACGTCCGACACCTAAATTGAAGCGAAAAAAGACCTACAAGACAGGACTGGTCAGCTCGATCACAGGGACAGTTGTTCACGGTGATATGACGACAGAGTGGACCACGCTAATTATTGGCACCTTAATCGGGGGAAGGTACGCCCACGTCATCCAAAGCACGTCGAGTATTTTCTACACGCAGACTAAAACAGATACACCAGAAGAAATTACGACTACGAAAATTCCGACACCACTTCCAGGCCTGATCCTTCCTGGTGATATACAGATTGAGGGGCTTTCTGATCAGCCAGTGACAGAACCTAACATTCAACCCAAGACGGACCCGCCGGCAGTGACAGTACCAAAGTCTCAGCCAGAAACAAACATCCCTCCGGTGACAGAAGCTGATATTCAGCCACATACAGAGCCGCCCCCAGGGACTGAAGAAACAAGGGAAGAAAGTGCCGAAAACAATCAAGACTCTTTGGATGTTTATAGCATTACGTCGAATTTCGCAATCCCGCTAATTAACCAGTCGAGAGTGATTGAAGAAAGCTACGAGACTGCACTCTCTGGCCAAGACCAGCCATCAGTTGTGGCCCTGTCAGATGGACTTTTCCTCTCAACATTGGTGCCCACTATGCAATTGTCCAGCACGCTGCCAAGCAGCACTCAGAAGGTACAGCTCCTAACAGATGGCTTCATACTCCCGGGAGACAATGCCGCCGACAAATATGAGCCTTCATCGTCCACATCGTCAAGTGATGGTGATGGACAGCGTATCATTACGATGGGGTTTATTCTGCCAGGAGCCGACCCCGTAAAGCAGTTTGAAGATGATCTCATATCATCTGACGAAGTGAAAGTACTAACCGACGGCTTTTTACTGCCTGGCCACGATGTACTGCCTTCTTCGGAGCCCCTCGAAAGCAAGTCAACGCTCCAAGGAAGAATCGCGGAGAGTGCAACATTGCCACTTGAAGAAATCACCACTGTTACGTCGTACCCAATCACGCATTATTCAACTTTCACTTATTATACTACTCTGAATCAAGACGGCAGCAATATTGTATCCAGCAGAGAGGTGACGACATCGAAGGTGTTCGAGAATAGCGACCAGTACGAACATGCTCGATTGCTTGGTAGGGAGACAGCCTCACTAGAAAGTTCAATGCTACCATTAGACGCAACATCGACAGCAGGCATCACAACGCTCATGACGGCTTACACCTACTTCAGCACCTTTGTGTCAGATGGCTCGATAGTTGTATCAAGTAGTGAGAAAACGCTATCGGACCTTCTAACTCCAACTGAAAGCTACGATGCAGATGTGACTCCCATTTCGCCTTCAGTAGCCACACAGCCAACAACGCTCTTCACGACTTACACCTACTACACAACCGTGACGAACGATGGCAGTACCGTTGTTTCAAGTCGAGAGGAAGTGATTTCTAATGTTGCTACACCCGAACAAAAAGACAGCACTGTCCATAAAACGAAAGAAACCCCAGATTTAGCTTCAGTTGGAGCGCCGACTACCTATTTCACAACTTACACCTACCTGACGACGCTCTTTAAAGACGGAACTTCGAGCATCACGAGCAACCTAGAAACAGTATCCAATGTGGCTTACGGGTCGACAAAAGCTCCCAATCAAGCACCTTACGGGATGTCAGGGGAACTTATCCCGACCAGCACAACGCCGGTTACCACGTTCTATACAACTTACACCTACTTGACAACACTTTTAAAAGACGGTACCTCTGTTGTATCCAGCCGAGAGGAGGTGGTTTCAAATATTATGAAAGGTACAGGAATCTCCTTCGACGCTTCACCTTCTCTTCAGCCCCGTTCGAAACCAGATGAAACTGAAGTAAAGCCCACTGAATCGCTCTCGCTGTCCACATACCTCACCACATATACCTATTACACCACGTTTGTACGAGGTGGAACTACGACGATTCGCAATAGAACACAGGTTGTTTCCAAGGTGAAGACCATGTCAGCAGCAACCGAGACGGAGTTGATAACAACCCCGGTGGTTTCCACTTACTACACGACGTACACATATTTCACAACCGTGAATCGTGGAGGAACAAAATCAGTGAAGAGCAGAGAAAGTGTGAAGACCAACGTTGTGACAAAATATCCCAAGACAGACTTTTCTTCGTCCACGCCACCTGTAGAACTTATTACAAGTTACACGACCATATTGTCTCCTGTGACTGTATACCGGGACGGCACTCCGCGAGTATCGTTTATCTCAAGGACCTCGGCCATTGTGAAAACAGTGGGAGACACGCCAGCCACATCAGTTGCAATCACACCAGTGCCAAGTATTGCTCCGACAAAGTCTTCTAACATGCAAATGATGTACACCACTTATACCTACTACACAACTTTATATGATGATGGTAAGCCCATTGTGTCAAGCCGAGAAGAAACAGTCACAAATCTCATTTCGCCTACGGCAGGCACACCTGATGATGTCGAAACGTCTCGTAACGAAGAAAGCAGCACGATTGTGCGAACTTACTACACTACTTACACGTATTTCACAACGTTCGAAACTGAAGGAACACCTACAGTGACAAGCCGAGAGGAAGTTGTCACCAACTATGTGACGATGACGCCCCACGACATAATAACTGGAGTGTCGCCAACTTCTTCGTCCCAAGAAGTTCAGCCAACATCCGCTGTGTCAACAAACGAAACTCCTGCGCTGTTCGGATCTTTGCCTTCAGACTTTGATTTTCGGAAGTTGTTACACAATGTTCCAGTGACCCATTACACGACGTACACTTACTACACGACTTTCTACAAGGATGATAGTACAATTCTATCCAGCAGAACAGAAGTCGTATCTAACGTTGTGACCCCAACGCCAAGTTCTGAGACAGGCTCAACAACGGAAACTACATCTGAGACATCAAAAATGCCAGCTGCATCGCCATCGCCAACAACTTTGGCGTCGACACCAAAGTTTACTATGAAGTCTCCTAAAGTTTTGAAAACAAGGTCAACGCCTTCCCTGCCCACTTTTTTGAGAACGGCAGCTTTGGGTGCACCACTGATTGTCATCCGAAATAGGAGGGACGCACAAGAGGAGGAGTTAGAAGCTGACGAGGCCGAGGACACCGAAATCTACGCTACACCCGTTACCTACTATACGACGTACACGTACTTCACTACCTACCTGAAGCCCGACGGCAACACAGCTGTATCCAGCAGCATTCATGTTGTTTCGTCTATCCTGCATCCGGACCAGCGCGTTAGGCCAACAAGAACTATCTACCATGACGAAATCCATGGAACGGAGCCTGTGAACATCTATCCTTCCCATCGAGGTGCAAAAGGGTGTATTCGCTGCAGCTCAGATGTTAGGGCTGTCTACGTTACACATACCGACTACATCACCGAGTTCCAACGTGGACGACCAGTCACGTCTACCCGATATGTTACACTCACGAACTATGTAACAGTTACGCCTGGACAGACAGTGTATGAACACAACCCGCATACGCAACTCGCCGTCCCAGGCTGTCGTCATTGCAAGCATGATGCACAGTACACCACATACACCTACTTCACCACCCGTCTGCTGGAAGGACGTCCTGTCACCTCCACGCGATACGAAACAGTGACAAATTATGTGACTGTGACTGTTACAGAACAGCCAATCCACCAACGCATCAGGCCTACTGAGATTCACCGACCCATCGCTATTTATCCAACGACAGTTTTGGATACAATTTATACAACTTACACATACTTTACGACAAGCATAGTCAGAGGTCGGCCCACAGTTTCGACAAGATATGAAACTCTCACCAACTACGTCACTGTAACTGTTGCTGATAGACCCTTTGAGCATCGCGTTCGACCAACAGACACTTATCGCCCTATCATCATCCAACCAACAGCTGTGAGGGACACTGTTTACACAACCTACACGTACTTCACAACCAGACTGCTTCGAGGGCAGCCCATCGTTTCAACTCGCTATGAAACGGTAACTGACTATGTTACGGTCACCGTGACAGAACGAGACAGAATTCGACCAACTAATGTGCAGAGACCCATCTATCCGACAAGGCATGGCCAAGAACCTTACCACACGGGATATACAACGTACACGTACTACACGACGCGCTACCTTAGCGGACGGCCTGTGGTCAACACGCGCTACGAAACCATCACCAACGTCGCAACCGTAACCATCACGGAAAACGCGACGCCGGAGTTTGGGCACCAAGTGAGACCCACGCAGAGTGGGCCTTACAGGACCTACCACACAACTTATACCTACTTTCAAACGAGGTTCATCGACGGTACTGCTATTGTGAATACTCGGAAAGAGACCATAACAAATACAGTTCTGGGGGCTCTCTGTCGAACTTGTCCCACTGGTCATCAGCAAATAATTCAAACTCGGCCGTACATCGAGCCACACCGACAGACCGTTATAACTCGAACCGTTGCTCCGTCGCACGAGATCCAACCGACGCCGACAACCTATTACACAACATATACGTACTTCACTACAATTCTTGAAGCCGGTCGCCCAGTGGTTCAAACGCGATATGAGACGTACACGGACATAGTTTCAGGACTCGTCCTGCCTACTAGAGCCGTCGTTGCACCTCTGCAACCTAAGGAAGACTTCCGGCACGACCAAGTCCAGTTAACGCAAGACACTGAGCAAGTGCAGCTTCCGCTCCTGCAGAACGTGTCGCCTGCGCGTCGTCGTCGACGGTCACAAGAGGGCAGTGGGTTGAAAGAGAGCGACGTGATCTCCGGTGGTCTCAAACTCAACGAGGAAGCCAAAGTGATGCCCCACTCGCAAGTGTCCCGAGTCCAGAGAGGGTTGTCCCGTGATGTAGACGTTGCCCAAGCTCGGCCTGGCAGAAAGATGCTGAGTCACGGTAAACGTCGCCGTTTTATGATCCCTCTCGATTAATCCACTAAAACACTAAAACCTAAAAATGCCCCGCTCCGCCGCTTCTCCTGTAGCTTGGCTAATCGCACGCAGCACTTTCAATCGATGGCGTTTTATGTGTTATGGTGTCTTGTTCGTATTTTGTAGTGTTGCCTGTTTCATTTTTGTTCTTGTGTCTATTTTGGGGAGGCCTCTCTTTGACGCTTAATGTTTTACTAATGCTAACAATTATGTATGTGCACTGTATACTGTCTTTTGTCTCGTTCGTCGTGTTCTTGACTGTTTTGCTTGTAACCCATGTGTGTGTTTGCAATCGTAATGTGCGTAATGTTGTGCATGCTGACATTTGGATCAGTGTACATATTGGACAAACATTAGCTACTTTCCCTTAACGCTTCCATATAAGTACAAAAGCCTAATGAAACTGGTCCTTCTATAGCAAGCAGAAAGAACCCAATGTGTTCTTGTAAGTCATACGAAGAACAATGGGACGCTACATCTATCTAGCGGAATTCGAGTGAAACTTAAGGACAACCCAACGCACATAAATTTGAGAACCATGTAGAACTTCGTCTCGACCGTTCTCCAAACTACGCTGGAAGGCAGCTCGGACCTTGTCCTTGCACGCTGGATTCGCCTTACTTCAAGCAACATACGTGTCCCTTGCACGCCGATCAAGTGTCTTCGGGAACAGTCGTTGGAGTGGGTCAGGATGCCCTACCGCCCGACCAGTCTGGGGACCTTCGTTTATGCTCTTCTGAGGACGCAGTTTGCAAAGGCGTGCACTCGCACGATTCCTGGAAGATAGACGGCGAAGACCGAAGAGGCGTATATTTCCGGCTCCCTTGGCTGCGTGTTTGGCCTTAGCGATGTAAAAGAAACAGCGGGCATGCGCTTGTTCCCCAGCGCACTTTCGCCGTGTATTGACCAACTCGGCAGATTTCTTCAGTTTGAGCCAGAGCCAGCGTGCACACTTTACCTCTCTGAAACTCCGCTAAGAGTAACTTTGCAACCACATGCGGTACAAGATACACTGCTCTCAGGGAGGCCTCTTCAAAGTCGTTCGTGCCTCAGTCATTCCTTTCTCTTAACAAAGGCTTTCGTCCACACTTGCAGCTTGCAGCTTGAAGTGGCACTTGTCACTACCTTGTTGATCGCTAATTGGCTTGCACTAATTTCAAAGACTGCTTGACGTTTTGCCTTTCTTGGAAAATGAAACTGAGACAATTGAATTTTGCTTGTGCTATTCTTTCTTTCTGCTATTTTCTCTAATGTATATTGACGTGATATTAGAGTGCTCTATAAAATATCGAACACGTTCTGATGTAAGGTCAGCGCTAAAACAATTTAGTCATGGAATATCCGATTTGAGGGCGTCACATCTTTTCTCGAGCAAATAATCCAATTCTAAAATACGCTTATTTTAGCATATACACGTTGTTTGTAGTATGTTTATAGAGACATATTCTGAGTACTAATATTTAGTTTATATTTACGGCACCTAACTGGAGACCGTGTCTCGCTACTGCTGAGTCTAATATACCTTTGCCTTACAATGCCAGCCTCTGCCGCATTGCGCTCATGCTTGATATCTCTGCACCTCGGGAAGGAAAGGCTGATGCTTGAATTGATATAGAAAGCAAGTCGAATCTCACTTGACCAGAGGTTGTCATGATTTTTCAGGTAGGTTCCCAAGAAGCCCCTTAAGGGACGGCACGCCGGCCACTTTCGCGCACTTGCGACATAACGCAAACTCGGTAAAGGGCTCCAGACGCCCACCGCAGCGATTTCTGCCAAAGTCAGCGGCCTCTCCTGTCTTTCTTCGCGACACACGAGTCTTTCTGCTGCCTCTGCAGCCATCACTGCCTCCTCAGCCTCCTCAGCCTCCTCAGCCTTCTCCTGTAGCTTTCACACCGTCTGTTTATTACCGACAAGCCGGTCGGAACGAAAAGGATTATGAAGCGCTACGCAGAACCGCGAAAGTGGAGCCTTCCTTTCTGGCGACGCCATCTCCGCAGACGTTCTACACCACCTTCTCTTACTTCACGACTGTGCTCAGTGACGGAAAACCTTCGATTTCTACTCGACTCGAGACGATTACTAATGTCTTCACGAACGTCATCTTGCCTACAAGAGCTGTAACGGTACGGCCACAAAAAGAAACCTCGGTGCCCAGCGAAGCTCGAAGCAACTTTCTTAGGTATTCAGTGGAGGAAGACCTTGCAATGATACATCGTCCACAGAGGCCTCCATCGAGAAAATTGCTGTCCTTCGCTCACGCGGAAAATGAGCACTCGTTAGAAGATCAGTTTATTGTGACGGATGAAGAGCTCGCATCAGCGCACCGACACAAGTATGGACTAGTACCGAGGTCGGCTGGTTCAGACCCCAATCCAAGTCCCGCTGACAAGACTAAAGAGTACCCGACAGGCCTCATCCAGTCAGTAGAAGCAAGAGCAATTCGAAATGGCGCGACAACTGTGTACGCCACCGAAGTATACGGCACGTTCATCAATGGTGCTTACGCTCAAGTGGTATCGACTGCGGTTCGCGTCTTCTCAGATTCTCCAAATGGCCTGGGACAATTAGCGAAATCTTCGACTAAAGAAGACATCCTCACAAAATCCGTTACCCCAACAAGCGCTTCCCAGCTGTCCCACGCCACAGGGCTGCTTTCTTCCTTTTCAAATACTGTCATTCACGACAGAACAACGACTGCCTATACTACGAACATTTATGGAACGTACATCCGAGGCATGTACGCCCATGTCGCTCAGACGACGTCGACTGTAATCAAGCCTCAAAGCACCCAGTCATCTTCAAGTATTACCGAGAACCAGCAGTACAAAACGGGCCTCCTGTCTTCACTAGTCAACACTGAAATTCATGACGCAACCACCACAATCTGGAAAACACAAGTCTACGGAACTTTAATAAATGGATTTTATGCGCACGTGGCTTCTACCGTCTCAGAAGTCGTGAAACCGTCAAGAACCACGTTCGTACAAGCATCTTCCACTCGTTCCCCAGTTTATGTGGCGTCTAGCCGTTCCGACTCATCAGGACAAGCAAGCAAGTCTAAGAGTTACACCACAGGATTGTTGTCAGCAAGGACCAACACCATCGTCAACGGAGGACGCTCCACCGAAGTAGTCACCAATATCTACGGAACCTTTGTTGGTGACTTGTATGCTCAGGTTGCGCGCACAACAACACGCACCCTGCCGAATGAGATAAATCCTCCGAGCAAAACAACGAGTACTAAGTTCTCATCGACACCAGCGAAGCTACTAGGAATTATATCGTCCACAGTGCAAAGTGTGACGAATGGTAACGTTGTGACCTACTACACCACTGAGCTTCACGGGACGAATGTTGGAAATTTATACGCCCAAATTGCAAGGACATCAACCAGGACCGAAACTATACGAGTTCAAAGCACGAAGACATCTACACGTGAATTTATTCAAAAAACGGGACTCTTGTCTACAAATCTCCTGAGCAGTGAAGTACATGGGGGAACCACCACTTTACACGTTTCAGAAGTGTATGGCACGTACATTGGCGAAGCGTATGCTCAGTTTGGAAGATCGACACGAAGAATAATATCCCCTTCTACAACATCGGAAAAGCCGCAGCAGCCAGAAAGCCAGAAGACTGGACTTGTATCATCCACTATTAGTACAGACGTACAGAATGGAGTAACAACCCTGTACACAACCGAGATACACGGCACTTACATCAACGGTTTTTACGCACACATTGCCAGAAGGTCTTCCCAAGTCCTACAGTCTGCCACGCATCAAACAACGACTGCTCCTGCTGTAGCTGCAAACTCGGAGACTCACATTTCAAGTGAGATCAACACGGAGATTAAAAACGGGGCCACGACGCTTCACACAACCAACGTTTACGGGACCTACATCAATGGCTTCTACGCTCACGTGGCAAGGAGCACGTCAAGGGTACTAGAACAAAAGATAAGCTCCACGTCAACGGCAGAAGCACTAAAAACAGGCCTAGTTTCACGCTCAGTTCGAACGGCTGTCGGGAACGGCCTGGTGACGGAATACTCAACTGATGTGTACGGAACATTTATCAACGGATTTTATGCTCACATTGCCAGGACAACCACGAACGTATCACCTCAGCCTAGTTCCAAGGAGAATGATTCAACAGCTATCTCCAGCACCGGATTCTTTTCTCTGCTTCAAGCAGCGGAGTCTACGAGTGACACTCGAATCTTCACAACACCAACATTTAGTACTGTGGATTCGACGCCGACAGTTTCAAGGAGAGCCAGCAGTTTTACAACAATTTCGGCCTTTACGGAGCAGTCAACACTCCCCATTTCTTCTAGAATACCACCCGCTACTCCCGTGCCATTTGAAACTATCACTGAATCCAGCTTCATCTCATCCAAACCAAAAATAAATTTTGTGGAACTCGACACCACTACAGAAAATATATTAGACGAAATAGGGCTTACTACAACGCTTAACGTTGAAAAATCTTTAAATGATAAGTCAGTAGTTCCTTCTTTTGAAGAAGTAACCTTATTCTCGTCTATGAGTTCTGAAACCATAAAAGAATCCATTGTGATACCAACACCCATTATCACAATCGAAATTAAAGAAGAAAAAACACAGGAACCGGAAACAACGTTCATTTCAAGCATCACTGTTGACTCAACTCAGACGAACGAGATTTTGGAAAAAGACTCATCGGAACTGAGAGAACCCAGCACCGTACGTTTTAGACCTGTCTTTCCAACAAGAAGGCCACATGCCCCGCACCGATCTACACTGGCAGTCTCCAGCGACCTCCAGGATGAAGACGGCGACGACTACGGGGGAAACGAATTTCTGGACGAGGAGGACGAGGACTACAATGAATACGACGAGAAGTCTGTTCAGCCAGAAGAGCCCAAGCCGCGTCCTACGAAGCGCCATCGTCCAACAAGAGCTGGATATACCAGGGGACCTCGGCAACCTCCAACCACGCACCAGATCAAGCACCAAGGGGAGGATGATGAGTTCGACATCTATCATGAGGACGATTACGAACACGGGTCGAGAGCTAAGTCTCAAGCTAGCAGGGCCGACGACGCAAGACCTCATTCCGCTGCAGCAGGAATTAATATTCGACCTTTCAGGAGGGACAGAGGTGCTTTCGGCGTACCATCCAGGACGGCGAGCAAGCCATCGTTCACACTTCAGCTTCGCAGACCCCAGGTACGACAAAGAATAAATGGACGCCGACCAGTGAAAGAAGCAAAGCACGACGATGATGATATAGAAGCCGAAGAAGCGGTTCACAGTTCTGCAGCGACGCCACAGTTGCACTTAGGACGCAGAAGAGGGTCTGCGAGACCACTTTCTGGAAAAGTGGGTGGAAGGCCGACGCCATTTACAAGAACGCGACCTTCGAACGATAAAACCCATGGAATTTCTCCGAACAGAGCAAAGGCAGAAGATGAATACTCTGATTATGATGAAGAGGAGGAAGATTACTCGACGGAGCGCGCGCACCCTGGAAGAGGACGGCTCAATATCAAGCCAACGGCAAGGCTGCCTTCCAATGGCAGGACAAGAGGGCTTGGAGGAAGACAACCAACAAGGGTGGGACCTACACACCAGGAGGATAACGATTCGAATGAAGAAACTCATTCCAACGGAAGACTTCGAGGAAGGCTGAGTCCCCTTGCTAAAGGTCGCCGCAATCGAAATAGGGGGCGAGCTCCAAACTTGAAGTCATCGTTCAATGCTGTAGGCAAAGATGTGGAGGAGTCACCAAACCTACCCTTTGCAAGGCTACGAGGAAACAGGAGACGATCGTCTTATAACCCAAGAGCAAGGAGGTCATCTTTGACGTCGAAAGGTCATGGATCAACAAAACCAGCCGTAACCGTAACCTCCGTCATCACGACTGTCAAGACTCTTCCTATATATCATGGATTCAAGACATCTTACGCGACGTTAACAACAACCGCATTCGCCTCGAGTGTCATTCTTCCAACCGCATATTCCACCGTGGTGGACGACGATGGAAACACAAAAACGTTCCTTTCCTCAAAGACTGACTCAAATGGGCTGTTCAGGACCGTCACAGAAGTGCTTATAACCACCACCGACCTGCAGCAATTTAGGATACTTCCCATAAAAGTAGGGTTCAGTACCCGTACTGACACGATAACTGAGACCACAGTCTTAACCCAGCTTACGACAGTGTTCAGTACCATAACCCCTGATGTGATTCCGACCACACCGGCTACTGCTCCTCCTGCCTATCCGGTCCCCTTTTACCCCCAGATCCCTAACCAAGATTTTAGCCTACTCACCTCTTCCTACGTAACAACGGAAACTATTGTCACGTCTACAGTGTTGCCCATTGTTCTTCGTGGAAGGACGTTGCTTAGTACCATAAAAACAACAAAATTTTCCGAATCAACCATCACGAAGACAGCGTCCGTCCCTGTTCCCCAAGTCCCGACAGCGGCCCCTTACATACCGCAGCCATATTTTGCGGTGCCTCAGATAACCACTTTACTCACGTTGTATGTCACTGGGGACCAGGGAGACGTCATTCCTGTTGTCACTACTGTCACTGTTCCATTTTATCAGCAGCCATTCTTTCACACTAAAGTAGCGAGAAGCGTGCCAGACCGGGCTTCTCAATTTGCTACTTTGGCTTCCACAGCGTTCTTAGGATTCCCCATCGACGGGTCCAGACTAGACGCTCTGGGACGGGACGAACGTCCAGAGGAAGTCCGCCTTTTCAGCTCTGGGATTGAAAGCTCCGTCGAGAACTCGTCCCCCAACTCGGAGTCTACCAGCACCTTGGACAACGCCGTTTCCAAAGCAGCCTCAGAAGCCGACGCGGTCACAACAATCTCCATGGGGCCACTGACGGAAGTCTATGAACAGCCGGCAACTGAAGTTCCCATAATTCAGAAGCACCCCAAGGGCATTTCTAAGAAATGGAAGAAGAATCATAAAGAACCTTCAAGCGTCGAAGTCGGCACTGACAACAAGTACGGCATCGGCGCTAAGTTTTTGTCTAGAAAGTTGCAACAGTTTCCAGAAGAACGAGATGAAGAAGTCAGGCCTGTTCGAGACTTCACCAGATTAAGAGGGCGCGTTCGCGCGACACCCGTTGAAGCATTAGCCCTTCCGACACCTGAAGCTCTAGTTGACAACTCGGGGTCCTCAAGCCCCGATTTTGAGTTTTCAGATGGAGGACATCATAATGACGCCCTTGATGGTGCTCGTCACGGAGTTCGAAGAGGACGAATCCTTCGAAGACCAGTGCAAAGAAACAGGGCAATAATCGACGGATCCTCACCTAGCTTCAATGGATTTCGTGGTCCACATGGGGGCTTTATTCGAAGAAGGCCGCCGCATGTAGTTCCAGATCATGTGGACCTAAACCCGCCTCAAGAACACAACGGTGGCCTACACCTCGGCGAGGAACCTCAAGCCTTCAGTCCAGGTAACCTTCATCAAACATCTGTCGCCTATCTCTCCTCCTATAACATTGACCCTTCTCCTTCTGTTTCTTTGGACAATTTAATCTCATCTTCTTTCGTGGGTGACGGACACTCTCTCTCCTCGGTACCGGTTGGGGAAACTAGCCTTTCTGAACCCGTGACTACTGAACTGACTCACCAAATCTCGGCGGATGCGGTGACTCTTTCGGGACTGGAGACCTCCAAACTTCCCAAAGGAAAGGTTCGGCGCATCAAAGTTTTGAGGCCTGCCCCTCACGGTGAAGGATTCCTTGGTGATGGTTCAAAGAAAGTACGACGCGTCACGGTAACACGAACGTTCTCTCTGACAGGTGAACCAACAAGATATGAGGACTACCGACCGCAGGTGGAATCTCCATTCGGTCAAGACTATGGCTCGTATAACCAATTTGTTCCGCATCAGAATGTAGTACCAGTAGTGCAACAGCCACAGCAGGAAATCCTTCGCGTTCCGCAGCAGGTGTCGCAACAGGCTGACGTGCATCAGGGATCAAATTATGACCCTTATGCTTCGGGTCTGAACCAACAGTCGTATCAAGGGTATAGTCCAAATGTTCCCTTCCAGTTTTCACAGCCTGTTAACCAGCCACAATCATTTGGCCAACATGTGCAATTTTCTCCTCATCTTTCGAACCAGCAAGATCAGTTTACCCCTATTCAGCCTGTGCAGAACTTCGTGCCTGCTGCAAATAATCTTCCACCGGCATTACCAAGCAAAAATGAAGCACACTCAGAAGACCCTCACCAGTCATCAGCGGTTCCAGCTCGTGGCTCTCGTCGTACAGTGTTTAGGAGAGTTCGTCCTACCAACTCAAAGCATATTGGCGAAAGAAGGACGTCGCTTGTGCGCAAAACGAGACCAATCACCTCAACTCCCGTCTTTCAATTAACGTCGGTGAGCGTCGAACCAACGCACGTGTTTGTTTCAGCAGCATCAGGAGAGTTCAACCGGCTCTTGGGTGCAACAACGGCTTCTCGGGAATTTTTGGAACTTGTGTCTAAAACTCCAGACCCTCCTGCACCATATTCGCCCGACTATCAACCCGACCCGCCGCACGAAGAGAAAGACGCAAAACGTTTGCCCTCCGTAGATGAGGTTACGCCGAATCCTCACCAATTTAAGAGAATAATTCGAGTGAAAAAGCCTGGAGAAGCAAAGAATGGACAAAGAAGGAAAGTCGTCCTTAACCGAAGACCATCTGTGAATAGTTTGCAAGCTCGTGGTCCCGTAACTAACGGAAATGAAGATTTGGTAGCTCAAAACATTGATGTTGCGTCACACAACAAGGAAGGGGCGGTGACGTCTCCTCAGGTTGCTGAGAGCTCCAACCCAACCTTGTCATTCGAGATCGGTGCGACCGTTCCATTAACTTATTACACAACGTTCACTTACCTTACCACGTTTCTCCATGGCACCGACACTGTCTACAACAGCAGAGAAGCAGTGCTTTCGTCTGTAGTCACAGAAACTTTAAATTCAAATATTGTGAATGTGATTCAAAATCATGGTGGATTCACAACGGCTCTCGACGGAATTTCGATGGTACACTTGGGATCCAGGACAAAAGGTGCTGCAACGACCATAGTGAACCTAGAGTCACGGCTCCAAATCTTCAACAGCGACATCTTTAGGGGAATTCACCCAACACCCACCGTGACTCCGGATCTCACATTCCCGACCGCCTCGTCTTCTGTGTTTGAGGCAGAACCTCTGCAATCGCCATATGAAAAAGCACCTGAATTTAATTCGGGAACAGTTCAATTGACTGACCTAGCTCGTATGCCCAAAACGATCTACACGCTCTATACTTATTACTACACACTTTTTGATGGCCTGGAAACAAAAAGCTCCGTTAGATCCGAGATTTCATCCAGTATAATTCCTGGCGAAAACGAGTTCTTGCCTCCGATTAAGCATACGAGGATCAGGAATGGGCTACTACCGCTGGGGCTCGACGTAACAACTGTGCACTTAGGATCACGAGACATCGACGGCACAACGACAGAGGTTAACATCGGAATGCGTACGGTTATTAAATTTGACGGCGTAAAAGATGCAGTAATTGGAGAGTTCAACGAGCCCATTGTCCCAACAGCCTCGGTGTTTCCAAGTCACGCAACAGAGGCAGTGGATAACAAGATAGAATTTATTTCAAATCAGGAGCGTTCGTCCCTCTTAGAAGATGCTCTTCAGCCTTCTTACTCGATAGCTCATGATGATCCGCAACAGACTACAAGCGTTCATGCCACTCCGGTTATCCTGTTTCCTGTCGATGAAACAACAGATGCTCCAAGGGCGAAGGTGAGAATTATTTCGTCACGTGTTAACAAGCCGATAGGAGGGCTCAAGTCTGGAGTGTTTCAAGCGGCACCAGGGGTAAGGGTTAGAATCAAGCCTGTTATACGACAACCCGAGGAAGACCCTGTCACAATTTCTCCAGAAGAAACGTCTCATGACTACGATATTGATGCGACAGAGGGCCTAACTTCGCCGAGTCCCATCGTTGATGTGACTGAGGAGGAACATTTGCTCTCCTCAGTCTTTGAGGCTCCGACCACTCCAGAGGATGAAGAACACCACAAAGGAAGAAAAAGGCTCAAGGTAACGCTCAGAAGACCAACTCCGGGGGACAAGCTTGCGAGAACGAACTCGGTGAACACTCGTTTCGTGAGGCCTTCACGCTTTGAGATTACTACAAAGCCTCGTTTTTATGTTGTCACTCGAACCAATGCCGCGGGAGTCGCAAGGCCTACCAAGAACCCATTCACTGTCAAGGTCAGCAAGAGGGTAAAATCAACGGACCTCATACGAGCCACACCCTCAGTAAGCATTATCTACGAGACGTTCACCACTACAACGTCAGTTCCAGTTATCTTCGGGTTACAAACAAGCTACAGAGAAGTGGTGATCACGGCTTCTACGCCTCTGACAGTAACAATAACCCCAACGTTTGGAGGGCGATCACCGGACTTGATTGAGCCTTCGGAGACTGTGATGTTGACGTATTTTACTACGACGACCTACACTGTCCCGTACACTCTGGGAGACCAGACGCTGTTCACCACGGTTCGAGAGACCAACTCTAGGATCGTCACGGAAACTGTTGGTAAGTTGAACTCCCATCAAACCGATATCTTTATTTTTATGCTGAAATTTGACACATCTCACTTGATATCTTTTTTAATTACGTTGTAGCAGCAAGCCATGTTCTAGAAGATATTCCTGCATCGCGTTATCCAGACGATTACTTGGACTACAGCGCTCAACTTATTGGACGAGGTGAGTGGACACTTTAATTAATTAGAATTAGCTTGAGAAATGCAAGAATGTTTACTCAGTGTTGATGGCTCGTGTAGAGTTATTTACCTTACAATACGCTCAGACGGAAGGAACATAGATTGCAGTCGGCGTTTCAAGAAACAAAAAAAAGCACATAAAATTCAACATGGTTCGATATGTAAGACTGGAAATAACTAACACGGCAACGCAGAAAGTTGAGCTATTAGTTGCATGTTGATTATGAATACCAGTGCACAAAAACAGAGAAGAAGCAACACAAACGCGACACACCAGCGCTGACTCAAAATTAAGGATTATTTTAATTAAGAAAGCAAAAAACTGCAAAAGCAAAGAAAACCACTAATCAACCAAGATAGACTGGGCGCCTTGGATGGAGGAATACAGAAGCAGTAAAACCAGACATTTATGGTTACCTGCTCAAAAAGAAATCTAATCTAAAATAATTCCAGTGAAGGCCGGCTGACGTAGCGATCTCCTAAACGTGAAAAAGAGGTATTTTCTGAATATCTAAGGTTGACCACATCAGCTTAAAAAATAACATATATATATGGGTGATTTCATCTCAAATCGGGCAGGCTAAAAATGTCTAATTTTTAATTTTCACGAAAAAAATATATGTTTTGGGGGTATTTCTCAAATGAAGGAGGGCGCAAACCGCATGTTCTCCCGATTTTTGTTCTCGAGTTACGAGCCGTAGAAGCCGCAGTGGCAGAAACTAGTGTTTTTGCCTGCCGTCGCAGGTCGCGTGTTTGACACCCTCTGCTAACGCTATTGTTTTCTCTACATCCTTTTAACCTTTCCCCCTCATTTAATAGGTATCGTAAAGATACCTTGATGTATTCAAATATTTTTAGGAATTTTATTGTTTTCTAAAACACATGTCAAACTCGTCACTGCGGTCGCTTTTCGGTCAAATTCGACAGGTCATTACTTTGTCTGTACTTAAGGTAAATTTTCTTTCTTTGGCTCTAAAGAAAGCCCAGTGCAAGCCCATTATAGATATAATAACATCATAATGATCTGTCGACTAGCCGCTCCGCTACCTTCATGTAAACGTTGTAAGAAATAACAAATGTTGAAAGTTTGAGGTCGATTTCCACAAAAACCCCATTTTTGGAAATTTGTATTTTTTAAATTTTTTTAGACATATTAGTTGACTACAAGAAAAAACAGTCTAGAAATGTAATATTTTGGTTGTGTGTCCTCTGTTTGAGCCGCAATCGCGTGAAATGCGTGAACATTTGCTATTTTTCACAACTTTTACGTGAAGGTAGCGGAGCGGCTACTCGGCAGATAATAATGATATTATTATATCTATAATTGGTGTGCTTCGAGCTTTCTGTAGAGCCAAAGAACGAAAATTTACTTTAAGTACAGACAAAGTAATGACTTGTCAAATTTGACCGAAAAGCGACCGGAGTGACGAGTTTGACATGTTATTTAGAAAACAATCAAATTCCTAAAACTATTTGAATACATCAAGGTATCTCTATAATACCAAAGAAAGCGTTCTGTAGAAACGCTTTCTTTGGACGGGTTTCTAGATTTCGGTTTTTTATCGGAGCGCATCTTTGCGCCCGCGGTCCCGCGCCCCGGTGGTCGCGGCGCGAAGCCACCCCTCACCTCCCGTTGTAGAATGGAGGGAAGTAGGCCGCACGTCTGTTGCGCGTCTCAGCCACTGGGGAGCAAGACCGCGGGCGCGGTGATGCGCTCCAATAAGAAACCGAAATCTAGAAACGGGTCCAAATGAAGCTTTTTTACAAAACGCCGTAAAGTGCTGCCCCGGCGTTATATCCTTACACAAATAGTTAATTTAGTGGTTTTCATGATGCTCTAGAAGCTTCTAATTGAAACCATATGTCTATTGTCAGTAATTAAAAAGTTAATAAACAAATTTTAAGTATTTAACCGACTTATCGCAAAGATTAGCCACTCACGTAATGTCCCCCTGGCCGTATAAGCCACCTGCACAAACCGCATTAGCGTAGTTTTCACGGTGCTTTTTAAACAAATGTGTAAGAATTAAAAAAAAAACACCATATATATATATATATATTTATTTATTTATTTATATATAGACATATATATATATATATATATATATATATATTAGGTTCAGATGAGTGCTGTGTCCGCCAGCATTTAGTGGATTACTTCTTGAGGTAATTTCCTGTTTGGAAGCTACCATAGATATTCGGCAATAGGACTTTTTTTTCTCTTCGAGGTCGTCTTGTGACGCACAGGACGACCTGCCATAGTTCGCCTGAATTATGGTAGTTCAGGCGAAATGCCATAGTGTGTTGTCTTCTCTACTTTCTACTTTCTACTTGAGACATTATTTGCGATTCAACGCAGGTGTTTTGGGATTGAGCCTCTCCATCGTCCATAATTCTCAGCTTCTATATTAACCCTTATCATGTAATACGGGACCGCGTATAGCCGCACTTAGCACCTGTGAGTCCGGAAGCATGTCCCTCTCGACAGTGGTGGGCATATTTGCATGTTAGAGCCACGTCCCATTTAGACATCTTGACTTAAACAGCTTAAAACTTAAAATCATTTTGGTCCCATTTAGAGATTGTCACAATCTAGTGATCACGTCATGCTCGCATTTCTGGCACGCACCCGTGCCCGTGTGGCTGACGTAGTGTTGCGCCTCCGGCGCAACATTTATCCGGCCTACTTTAAAATAAGTAAGAACAAATGAAATATTCTTCAGGAACGAGTTGGTAATTATGTAATAGCACTGAATATGGTTGTCATCTGCATTCACCGGCATCTCTTTCTGAGTGCAAATAAATATTATCATTATCATCATCATTATCCAAAGCTATATTGTTTTTAAACTATGCGCTGCTCCCAAACATAATATTATTTTTAGCAGTGGAAATGTCCCACTGATCACTGAGAAGCGTACTTTAACGACTAGATCCAATTCTATAGTAAAACACATAACCCTTTAAACTTCCTTTTACGGAGCATGTAGCATATATTTATAATATTTTATCACAATAATTTCGACAGTCAATAATTGATACCGCTGGGCGTTGATTAAACATTTTACCCCGGTTAATCACCACCCGTTAATCGAATAATTATTCGATTAATCGGTCGCGTTAATTTCCATGCATAATATTTTTAGACAGTCAAAATTGATATTTTTTTTATTTTTTTTTTGCATTTGATAAAAAGCGGAATATGTAATTTTTATTATGAATAAACCTTGATTTGACGTTAAGAACAGTTCAGAGACACTCGCACTCGCATATTGTTACTTCAGCTGCATGAGGTAAAGAGGTTCGTCGATATTATCCGGCAAGAGCGAGCTAAACGGACACTCGAGCGGCGTTGAAGTGGCCGGCCCACGTGTTCTGCACTTCTCAGGAGTTACAAATCTTACCCCTACAGTTTACTGCAGGCTACATTCTGACCTAAACTTTGCCCTTCATACAGGTGTTCTCGTCCCCGTCTGCGTAGTGAAACCGTTTACTTTTTTATTTTATTTTGGTTCGTTAAAATAATACCGCTTAACTGGTAAAATATTAATCTCGATTAAAGCATTAATTGATTAATCGGTAGCTTAATCGATCAATTGCCCAGCCCTAATAATTGGGCTTCCAATTCTGACCACCACAATACTACTAATATTTTGTGTATTGAGCATCGAGCAATCTCAGCCTCAATTCTGAGATTAACTTCATTTGTACAAACTAAACAGCGCAGTCTTTGATGACGCACTCTGTGAAGTGTGAAGTATAAAGTCACTACTGCCATCAATATGTTATTACGATAGCGATCTTCTGTTGTTACATTCATTAAGGATACACATTTACGTCAACCGTTACGTTTTGACATAAATGTGTAATCGGTATATACTTTTTGCGTATACACTTTGCAGGAGCTGCACCGAAGCACCAATCATCGCTTGAGCTTTTTGCTTCCCACTACCAACATCGGCCTGGCCTGTCTACCAGAATATCGGACGGCGTAACGCTCATCGTTGCCAGTGGTGGTGACTTTGTCGCCTCAACGCAGTTGTTTTCTCACCAAGCGACACCATACACCTTGCAGCCAACGCTACTGCTTGACGCTGTGCTCATGAAAGAACATTTCGACGGACAAAACGTCTCTCCACAGCCTTATTCAGTGTCTTACAGCACCAAGACGCTTTTCACGACGTACACCTATTTCACAACATTCTTCACGGATGATTCCTCTTCGATCTCTAGCTCGGAACAAGTTATCTCGAACACGGTTACAATCCCGGTCACACAAAATATTCAGCCGACGGCAACTCCTCATCTGCCGGAGTTGAAGCAGGCCCAGACTTATCTGGAAACTAGCGAACGTGTGGTCACGAGCACGTCATATAACACGTTCACGTTCTATGCCACCCTTTTCAACGGCTCAAGCTCTGTGGTCACTCCGTTCGAGGAAGTCCAGTCGCAAGTGTTCACAATCACGGAGTCGTTCACCATCACAAGAACGATAATGCCATCCTCCGTACACCTGTTATCGACTCCAATCCTGGTGCATCCTCAGCAGCAGTATCAAGATGAGCAAGAGCGAATCAGACAGCAACATCAACAGCAGCAACAGCAGCAGCAGCTGCAGCAGCAGCAGCAGCAATATCAACTGCAGCAACAGCACCACCAACAACAACAGCAGCAGCAACAGCAACAACAACTTGAGCAACAACAACAACTACAAAGTCATTACCAGCAGCAGCAGCATCTGCATCAGCTACAAAACCACCAGTTGCAGCCGTCAGTAACAACGCTGCTTAGCACTTTGTATTCGACACAAACGAACTTTATCACGTTCTTCCAGGGAACGAGCACTATTGTCACCTCAATTGAAGAAATACTGTCAGATATTGTTACGCTGACAGTTCCTCACGGACTGGCTACTCCTGTGATTTCGCATTCATATTTGCTTTCACCTACCGTTACGGTACCTGAGTTTAGCACCAGAACGTACTTAACAACACAAACTCAATACGTTACTTTCTTCAGAGGAAAAGAAACAATTCTATCGTCTATTGAAGAAATTGGAACAACCGTTGTTACGGAAAGGGTAGGTTCGCGCCCATCTGTCTATTCAAGACCATATGGAACTCCTATCGCCTCTTCTATTGCTCCTACGAGAACGAGTACGCCAACGTTTGTGTTGCCTTCATACTCTGCTACACCAGCAGACTTGGTTCCGTCCATCAGAACATACTACACAACTTACACTTACTTTACAACTTTCTTCACTGATTCAAGTTCTATTGTGGCAAGCCGAGAAAATGTCGTGACCTCGCACGTTACGTTGTTCGTACCACGAGCTTCGCTGACGTCATCCACAAGGTTGCCACCTCCTTCAAGGATTCAGACAACTACTTCGACCAGCACATCCTCATCGAGCATAGCGCCTACAACTACGCGATCGTCAACTCCAACATATTACCGACCTACTGTGACAACTCCACCTTATGACACTAAGTTGTACACAACTGGAACGACGTACACGACTTACACGTTCTACACTACGTTGTTCGGCGGCCAAGATAAGATTGTAATTTCAAGCGAGCAAGTGGTACCTCAGATTGTGACGACACGAATCGGATCCAAACCCTCCACAACATCCACGAGGGCCAAGGTAACTCCCACTGTGCTGACACACTTCACGACTTACACCTACTTCACAACCCTTGTCAAAGAGTCGGAGACTATTGTGTCCTCTTCAGAGGAAGTGATAACTCAACTGGTTTCTACAACAATAACACCATCGTCGACGACAAGCTTCGTCCCTGAAGTGAACATTGTAACTTCGTCTCTTCACAAGCCTCCGAAGAAGGAGACTGCTGTGAAGGTTACGAGCAAAGTTCAACCATCCTCATCAAAGAAGCCCGAGAGAGTAAGCACGTTTAGGCCTGTCTCCAGTCAGCTGACTCCCAAAAGCTCAACGTCCTCCTTTAGTTCTGTGACACTATTTGGGTCGACAGAACTGGAGAGCTCCTACTCTATTCCCAGTGCTTCTTCAAGACCCTCGTCTTCGACACCAAGCTTTACAACCTTACATTCTGGATTCATCGAAGAGGAAAGTACGAAACCGCTTTTAGGAGTGTCGACAACCGTTATAGATGGCTCGACAGTAATCTTCTTCACTGATATTCCTGGCGGTCAAGAGGACGACGATGAGGTGGACGCCTTCAGCTCGTCGTCACTCTTTTCGCTCAGTACAGTTTCGGAAGTTCTCTCTCCTGTTTTCGTTCCGCCCGATTCAACCACAGAATCAAGCACCGTCAAAAGTACCTTTGACACCCTCCTACTTTCTTCGTCACCAGTAACATCAACCACGGTGTTGGATAGCAGTACCAGATACATCGGTCACGACAATGAAACAACGACGTTATCGCCAAATGTTACATTGTTCGTCGTCACCGGCACAGACGGTATCCTTACAAGGCTGACCGAAGCGACTTTCACGTCCAGAACTTCCGACGTTTCTCCAAGTAAAGCTGCCGCACCCGCTTCTGCGGATATTATTCCAACAGAGATCCCTACTGTTCAACAAGCACCTCTTCCCACTCTTGGTGATGGCGGTGCGGGCGGGGGTCTTGGCATTGGTTTCCCGTCGAAGCCAATTAAACCTGGATCCATCATAGATCTGGCCGATGTTCTCGGAGGTAACGCGAACCTGGGTGGAAACATTGGAGAGGCTATTAAGGGAATTGTTCATTTGTTGTCAAACGGAAAACGAAACGAAACAGATGACTCTGGTGATCTCCATCCGAGCCAAGTCAAGGACGATTCCCCACTTCCGCCTACTGACGGAGTTACAGTGAGCAATATTGAGGAACCTGTTTATATACCCGTTGGAGCTATTGCTTCTGACTCTTCTGGAAGAAAGAAGGCTACTAGAGTTGAGAGCACTCAAGCGAGACATCCGGAGACAGATGGAGTTAACAGCGAGAGTCTTTTTACTTTCATGCATAGCAGCGAATACCCGGTATACAGTGACGATGTTCACACCGATATTATTACTGGCGTCGAAACCATATTCTTGGGGCCGACTGAGTCTCACTATGACGACGATGCGCCAGATGTTGAAGATTCTATGCCCGAAAGAGCGGACAAGGATGCTGCTGTTCATCTAGTTGGAAGCGTTCAAAATAGCCATTCATCGTCCTCCTCGTCGGACAGCCCAACTCCAGCCCTCGACTCAAGTACTGAGGTTATTACGGGAGACAAAACAATCTTCTTCGGTGACTTCGACAAATTTTCAGAACTCACCCAAAGGGCGGAAGATCATAAGGGTGACATCACGATATCTGACCCTAAGGAGTTTTCAAAGTTCGTTGGAGTTCAAACCATTTTCTTCCCTGACGCACCTTTGCAGTCGTCAATTCCAAGCGAATTACAGATTACAGGAGCAACAACAATCTTCGGTGACAGTTTCACCCCAATTCTCCCAGACCTGGAAAGCAAGAGCTCTGTTGATTCACCTCATTCGTCTGCACTCGCTCCTGGTGGCCCTAAATCTGTCAGTGGAGCAACAACTATATTCTTCCAGCTGGACGGTGACCGGGCGCCGATTCTTCCACCGGTATCGACGAGCGTCTCTACCGTCACACAGTACGTTACGAGCGTTGAGTCTGTCACCCGAACCCTCACGCTTACGACAACAAAGGTATACTACACACGAGACAGCCCCCTCACGATCACGTCAGTCTTTACAACGACTATCGCTCCTAGGACGTTTGTTTCTACAATTATTGGAAGCCGTACTATTCTTGGAACCCTCCCAGAAGCCACAGAGACTGCAGAAGGCAGGATGACAACACCGCTGCCAACTGAAGCGACAACAACGGTCACGACAACTACGCTCATTTTCAATTCCATCACAACCACCGTGGTTCGCACGTTGGTCATTCCAACGGAACGGCCTGAACCCACTCGATCATCGTCGTTTGACTATCCAGCCACGACTTCGGTGCACGTGGTTACGAGCAGTCCTGAAGCCAAGGCAAGGACACCGGAATCTGCAGACAGCAAGGCCCCAACGCTCCGACCGCCGCATCGGCGACCGACGACTCCAAGGCCGCCGCATCCGACCCTTGGAAAGCGACCCGTGATAGCGTTCAGAGCACCTTCAAGAACACCTGACACGGCAAGCACAAAACCAATGCCATCTGGCCCTAAATTCAAAATTCCATTCCCAAAACCACCAACCACCACGACGACAACAAAGAAACCGACTCGGGCACCACCGGTTAAAGCGAAGCCTGGAAGGGTGACTCCTGTCGATGGTTATCCACCAGTCTGCCTGCCTGGGTGCAACGTCAAAAACAAGGAGGTTTGCAGAGAACTACAGGATGGTACATGGGCCTGCCACTGCAAGCCGGGATATGGAAAGCAGGAAGGCAATAACACCTGCACAGGCAAGTATTTCTGCTTTCATCTTTGTGCGAATACGGCTTTGGTGATAAATCAACTGAAGCGTTTTGACATCTTGTGAAATAATGCCATTCTGCTTTTGACTCACGAAGCCAAGACACAATTAAACGTTTTGATTTTACCGTTATGTTGGCCTGCCAATGCAACGTTAGGTCAGACAAAAATGAAATAATACTAAGGGTATGCGTACGAATCACAAAGTAACATAAATTTATCACTGTGACGAATGCAGCTACTTTAGGAAGAACAGCAGGCTCTTGTATGAATTTAATATGTAAAATAAGCAATTTGATGTAAACGCAATATTTATTGTTCTTTTAGCCAAGCACGTTTATTCCTTAAGGAAATAAAAGTTTTATAATACGTAATGACATAATATATTAATATTAAAGTTTTATAAAGGCGTTCAAAGTGCTGCAAAATGTGTTGCGTAAATCTGACGGCCTTCGAAATGTATACTCATCAAACCTTGAAAGCGTTCATATAGACTACTGCCGCTAAACGTAGCAGTACGACACTTACAACTTGAAAACTTTCAGTCAATACTGCCCCTGCGGGCACTTTCATAGCGGGTATAACAATCACTTTAGAAAGTTATCTGCACGGCTTACTCGCAACGTGACTTTCCAGTAAAACAAATAGGTCCCTTTAAGATCACGAGGAATGTCACGAGCTAATTCTACCTGCTTACACCCTTGCAGAAATCGAAACCTACGTCGTCCTTCTTCGCGTTGTCAAGATGGGAGAGTCGGCAGTGTCGTATCGCACCGAGTTTTCCAACAGCCTGTCCACTGAATACCAGGAAATTGCAGATGCAGCAAAGAAAGGAGTAAGTATCATGTCCTCCTCACATAGACCCTGTTTAAAGGTCCATCAAGCAACGCTGGCGGCCGCCATATTTTGGGCATCGTGTTGAATAGATACGCACACTAGTGGGCGCTGAACGCTGATGCAACGTTCGTGTCCAGTGCGTGCTAAAAGCGCGTTCCCAAATTATACGGGTGGCCTCGGAGCAGCTTCTAGATTGCGCGCACTTCTGGAAAGGGTCTATGGTCATCCCTCCATCCACTGCCTTTTTTCCGATAATTCGGTCACTTCGACAATTTACATAACTGTTTCGCCTCTGCTGATTATGAAATCTCAAAGCCGAAGCTAATTTCTTACCCCGTGTGCTGCGCCGTTTTTGTTTTGTTCTGCAGATGACGGATGCATACAGAAAATCCGAGGTTCAGAACCAGTTCGTGTCGTCGAACTTGAACAGCATCTCAGACGGTGACGACTTGGACACGGCTGACAGCTCTCCCGAAGGAATTGTGCTCAACTTCACGGTGTCGATGGCCAAGTCCGATAGCATCACTCCGGAAGTCATCAAGGAACAGCTCAGTCGCTCTCTGCGCCAATCCAACTACAGCATAGGCCAGAGTCCGCTCTTTGTGAGTCCCAATGCTGTGGCGGCCGTTCAAGGTCAGTTGCCCCTTTTTAAAATTTTTCTGGGGAAAAAGCGATGCTTTATACGTTCCAGTTTTTTTTTTAATATTTTATTCGAAAACGAACGGAACAAACGACAATATATATCTTGTTATTTAATTAGCTTTAATAAATAAATGTCAACCCTTCCTCTCTTCCCCCTTGAGTGTCTGTTATACGATGATTACGTTCAAACTAAAACAGTTATTCGAAAAGAAGCAAAATAACATGCCCCCTAATCCCACTGAAGCGGAAAGTTGGGCAAGTTTGTCTGCAGTTAAATATATAAAAGTGCAAAAAACGACAGGGACAATAAAGACTGGATAGAACACACAAGGCGCATATGAAAGTGCCAAAAAAAAAAAATGACCGAGACAAAGAAGTATTGCGCCCAGTGTTGTAGCCGCTCTGCTTTGTCCCTGCCATTTTTGGCGGTTTTATATAATCCAACTACTCACAAAAAATGAGCCTGGGAACAACCTCTGTTTTACAAAATACGCATTTTTGAATAATATAAAAGAAGCGACGAAACATTGAAAGGTCAATGTGCGGTGAGTGACACAGTTCAAAACCTTTTGTCGCCTGCTGTTTCTGAGGGTTTAAAAAAAAATGTTTGCCTGCTTGCTTACTGAATCACACTCTTGTCAAACCGGTGAACATTTAACACTTTTTGTTCAACCAAAAACCCGCAAAAAAAAAAAAAGGAAAGAGGAAAGAACTCACGAAGTTTTAGTCTGAAGCCTCGCATTCACGTGCTGCGACAATGCAGTAAATTAACTAATTTTAACTGAAACCGTGTACGGGTAAATACCTATTAGATCCACTAGGAATTGGCCTTGGGAAAATACCTAATCCTCGTTTGTTGTTTTTCGTTCTCGTTTGTTGTTGCCCTTATTTTGCTTTTTGATGAAAGAAGGTGGTGTTAAGCAATAAAATCAAATGGATCACTGAACACATGACAATCGATATTTTTTCGTAGACTACGACGAATGCGGAGATCTGGATGCCAACGACTGCGGCAGGTACTCCGTGTGCGTCAACCTGCCGGGGACGTACAGCTGCTACTGCAAGAGCGGCTTCGAAGACCTCGATCTTCAACGACCTGGACGCGCGTGCTCAGGTGCCCACGCTTATTTAACTCGGCGGTCGCGAGATGGGACTTTGCCAACCTCATGCACTTCCTTTCCCTTCTCGATCATTGTAACAACAAGGACCGTCATAATAATAATAATAAAAAAAACTCTATGATGACTTCTTGCAGGAGAAATCAAGAACTGCGACCATTGCAGCGGCCGAGGAACGTGCTTGATTACCGAGGATGGGAAGAAAAGCTGCAAGTGCGTAGACGTTTTTTTTTTTTTTTGTCTATTTTTTGTGATTGAGATTTACGTTTAGCCACACATGTGCCTGTTTTCTGTTATAGTTCTAACATTTCTAATTTCCCTTTAGTTCAGTAACTAAAATATTAATATAGAGGTACTATTCTGTGAAGAAATTTTCCCGTATAGCTCTTATCGTCAGAAATATTATATATTTTAAAACACGATCCGAGCATTATCTATAAAGAAAGATGAATCTGAAAAAAAACCTTGTATATCGTAAGTTTTTTCTAAGCTAGAAGCTTAATGCCGTCAACCTACTACCTTTCTCTGTTAATAGTCGTTCGCTACCAAAGCCGCAAACATACGAGGGCTTCAAATAATTCGGAGTTGGTTAAATATATATTGTACCTGTTTATTTTTATGTATACGGTGTTGATCAACGTAGAAGTTTGGGCTAGTTAATATGCAGACAAAATTAAAATCAAAACAGCGCAAAGACGAGGACAAAGTGAAAGGTAACCGACAGGACACGGAGCTGACTCTCAACTGAACATTTCTTTATGTTAGCATCCAGTACAAATTGCTAACCATGCCACACAACGTAATACAAGGAAAACACAAAAAATGCATATCACGTGTTCAATACAACAACGTTACTGGTTTTCCCTCCTCTCTCCAAGTACTGACGCTCTTTATCTCAAAGCGCGACCTATAGGGCGCTAACTCAATCTGGTCCTAACCTTGCGATTTCACGAGTTGCTACATTTTCACGCGTGTCTTTGTGTTTATTTTCAAAACCCAATTGTCATTTGTCGAAGACTGGGATGCAAGCACAATCTCTGCTGTGCACCCCGAGGTGACCCGACACAACCCTGTCTATGCCATCCCCTTCCACGGACGCTGTGTATTCCATTCAATTATCTTGCTGCCGTCCTTATGTCGATCAAACAGGAAGGTGCGTCTAGGATCGGCTCAGAGAATACCGATCTGACGTTTTTATAGCTACGTCGGATTACCTCGGGTTGTACTGCAGAGATTGTGGTTGCATTCCGGTCTTCGACAAATGCCAAGCGGTTTCTAAAAGTAACTACAGAGTCACGCGTGAAAATATAGAAGCTCGTGACATCGCAAGTCTAGGACCAGATTGTGTTAGCGCCCAGTCGCTCTTACTTTGAAATAAAGAACGGCTGTACTTGGAGCGAGGAGGGCAAACCAGTGACGGTGTCGTATTGAACACGTGATATGGATTCTTAGTGTTTTTCCTTATTTTATGTGGTGTGGCATATTTGCTATTTATACTAGATGCTAAAATAAATAAATGTTCAGTTGACAGTCAGCGTCGTGTCCTCTCGGTTACCTTTTACTTTGTCGCCGTCTTTCCGCTGTTTTGTTTTTAATTAATGGTGTTGATTGATTTAAAAAATCTGTTTCTTCGTCTGCTCGTTAAAGTACAGTGTTCGCGTGGTTTTGAAGCTTGCTGTACTCGGCAGCACAGAGAAGTCACTTTACCCAATAAGTCTTATATGCTTACGCGCCTCTTATAAACGAATAAAAGGGAAGCTGGTGAAGTTGATATTTTGAAGATTCAACGAAGAAGGTGTTTCTCTCTTGGTATATACCCTCTATTTTTTATTTAAGAACAGCAAACAAAATTAATTCTGAGGTAATGTTGTGTTATTAAGGCTACAATGCAATTAAATGCACAATTAAAGCTACCTATTCCATGGCTGTTTAAGAAAGCATTGCATATCAAAAGACTTCTTTGAGCAAACTTCACGACGCGTTACGCCTCGATGTTCTCCTCCCTCGGCACGTGACTTATTTATTCACGTATTTAGCGTTTCTATTCGTCCTAGGATCTTCTCTAAACGTACATTACTAATAAATAGTAATTACAAATTACTACACTTTAAACAAAAGTACAAAAGTCTTTAGAGACCGGACAGCTGAATTGCAACTATAGGTGCATTTCAGCTGTCCACTCTCTAAACATTTTTGTCTTTTGGGTGAGTCGCAAGCGCTACACTTATTAAAACTCTCAAATTATTGTTCGCATAGCCATCGAAATACAAGGGGTGCTTCCCTGTTATACCATTACAATGGCATGCATGGCGTTGTAATGGTATAACAGTAGTAACGGCAAAAAAGATGTGTGAGCGTCTTGCAATTGATTCTGCTCTTTTCCAGATGCAACCGAATGTTCCTGGGACGCCGATGCGAGATCAATGGCTTGGGTAAGGACGATATTTTCCATATCGCATTTATATCCTTTCGGGGATACCCGACAACCTTCACCGTGTGGCGTGTGCCCCAGAGGTCGCGAGTTCAAAGCCGAAAGATGTAGTGTCCCAGAGCGGCTTCTTTTTATCGCTTGTTTACGCGACCGTGCAAAGCGGAAAACTGGCCACGTACTGATTAAAATAATTCCTGGGGGAAGTCAGTCGGGTCAAAATCATGCCTTTTTTCCCCCCCTCCCCCCTTCCCTTACCCGTCACTTCTCATCTGCTACTTATGTTTCTGCTTACCCTCGTAACCTTTAGTGTCCAAAGGCTATTTGCTTCAAAGCAGAATCTGCGATCGGAACGCCACTGTGACGTACACTGCCGCTGGTCAGGTGCTGTATGCCTCTTACATTTTTACTTCTTTATTGAACAGTTTTGTTCCTTCTGGTCAGACGCCGGGGCTAAGTTACGATGAGTAATGTTTCTACGTGCTGTTCGAGCGCACTTAGGGTAATAGCACAAATAAGGATTAGCGGAAAGGCAGTTCAGTATATTCCTCCAAAGAAAAACATTTGCCGTGTTTATTCGTTTATACTTTTATTGACAAAGTCTGCACGTCCACTTTCCCGCGGAGGGAAGTCACTGCATGGAGCTTCAAAAAGGAGTTCAGCAAATGGCTATAGCGATAACGTTTAAGCTTTAAAACACCACCCCTATGCTGTAACACTCAACAATTTACATGGTTGTTTACAGCTTAAACGAAAATATTCCTTCCGAGCTCCAGCGAACTTTGTGTATTCGTTGGACCCTGGTTTATATCAAAGTATTCAAACTTTTAGTGCACGTTTCAAAAAAAATATACACTTGGGCTTCGTTCAGAATGAAAGATGACGTATTTCCGAGTAAATACGGGAACTGCGTGATGTAATTCTAACTGTGTCACAATACCCGCTATCTGGTCATCGACCAAGGTTTTCAGGGCACAGGTTTCTTCAGCTTAAAAACCTTCTATCCGGGCGCAGCCATCTTGAATCGCGTAACTTCCGGTATACTTGCAAACATCGTTTTTCTCTCGCCACGCCACTGGGCGAAGTTCATGTTTTAATCGCGACTTGTGATGGCTCGCTTTTATTTTTACCCCGTATACCGGATTCGTCAACTGCGCGGCTGGAGGCGAGCGTAACAAAAAAGGATATAGAGCGGGTTTTAAACATTTTTCTTCGCTCCATAGTTCGTTTCACTAGAAGGGCCGGAGCAGTCAAGGACTGTAGCCAAATATACACATGTTGGCCAAAAGCGTAGAGCCACGCGCATTTACCGTGCTGGATTGAACTAGCAGGTGATAGCATACTTACGGAAGGACGAGGAATAGCGTGATACTGCGCTTTTAGCGCTTCCTAATTGACCGGCTCGGCATGTGAAGATCGACTTCGCTCATGTACATGGTGTAGAAAACACTAAATGTTGACCCCTATTGTGCAGGAGATCAATTCTCCCCGCGTGGTTCACCTCAACAGTATTGGAACAACCATAAAATTAACCGAGCCGAAAGACGCTGCAGCGTTCCGCTGTTCAATTAGTGAAGTACCAATTGAACGCGACTTTCAGTTGAACACTGGCCCAACAGTCGTCTCCCATCTATGTCCCACGCTCGTTGGAGGTGGATACGTAAATCCAGTTTACAGGTTTTGTGTTGGGTGGTAAAAACCCAGCTCTGCGAAAAATAAGCTGCACATTGTGCTCCCTAAAATGTTTTCTTCTCGTCGATAATAGTGTATAAAGTCTGAATCTGAAGGACATAATACTGAAGAGGAAACGCAGAGAGGTTCTAATGTACAATGTTTATTTCCCCGTCTGTCTCTGCCCTCGTTTTGTTATTTTGCCTTTTCTCGGGTGTTATTTTAAGACTAGCTGCAACTCCAATCTTTTTTTAATATTATTAATTCATCGCTTCATCATACTGCTTCACTTGCTAATTATAAAAGTGCTTAGACGAAAATAAAAATTCGATGTCTACATCTCAAATCAAAAGGGCACATTTGAGGTGAGTCAGTGAGAATGATGCGATTAATTTATACCACCAACCAGGATTTGACGAGCAACACAAAAATATAAATTTGTTACGCGTAAACCGTAGAGGAGCTACGCCAGATTGTCAGCATCTTGACAACGACGAAACTTGCCGTCTGACTATCCAGAAACCAGCAGTTTGACACCAAATTGCTTTGGAGAATCTGCCAGTGATCCAGCTACTGTGTGTCAAGCCCCGCTTGAAATATCTTTATAATGCAATCTCACTTTAATTAAGAAGGACCCGGACTCTTTGTCCAAGGCTTTATATGTACATATATTGTAAATAGTACACAACAAAAACGACCAGGTGTATAAAAAGAAAACACAGAGGCGCTTGAATCTGATTGAAATGAATTAAAAATAAAGATTGCATAAGCGTCAAAGTCACGCTTGACCTTTCACTAAGACGTTTAGCTTTCTTAGTGCGATTACGTAAAAATAAGTTTAAACTTGTTCTTTTTTGCGTTTTTTCAGCGTGCGAATCAGTATTTCCTCACCCAAGGGTAGTTCCACACACCTGTTTTTCTAAATTAGTATCGGATGTTTGAAACCCGTCCGCGTCAGCTGCTGGCGCGACATGTTTATCTGGTTTTTCTCAGCGTCTCTGTCACGCATCTTTTTTCGGAGCCCCCTTCACTTTGTTTTTGGCCGCTTGATTAGCGAGAAGAGGTCCTCTATATTTGGCTTTGGAGCGCAGCGACCGGCGTGTAAGCGCTGACACGCTCAGACACTGACAAGGAAGTCACGCCTATATATAGTGCTTTTCAAGAGGTGCGCGGGCTCTTTCACCTCTGCGGCATTTTGTCTCGCTAATTCTCCCGCTGTGCGGCGCGAATGGCGCTGGCGGAAGAAAGCGCCACCACTGGGCAACGTTTACACTTTATGTGGTAACGTCGTCTCCTTTCGGACTGCCAATTTTCTCGACTGTCCAGTAGAGTCTTGGGGCTTTGGGCTCAACTGGCACTTCGTAAGAGTGTTGTCTATTTGGGGTCAGACATGTCAAGCACGCGGGGTTAAAGGTCGCCTGAGTGCCTAAATGAACTCAGATATTCTATATATATATTTGTTTTTAATACTGACAACCTAATACGTACTTTACGAATGGTTTCGTATGAGGTGCTTTATCCTGCGATGTTGCCTTTCATCCTGATGGATTCGATTACGGTACCTTCACGCAACGCATTTAGAGGCGTGCATTTTGCAGATGATTATTGCGTCTTCCATAAGAATGTAGATGATAAAACGCGCACTATTGTTCGTTACGTAAGTTATGAAACTAATCTTTTGAAAGATTAACCTTTTTTTTTTTTTTCTTTTGGCTAAGAGGTGATTGGATTGCTTTTAGCCTACGCTCTGAAATAGCGGAACATAAATGAAGCCTCTCTTTTTCGAAATTCTGAAAGTCTATCCAAGTAATTTATATTCGAATGCGGAAAAAGTTAAATATTTTAGTAGAATCGAGATATTTTCTGCATACAAAATTAAAATATAAACTTAATAAGCAATAGGGACGAGATACGTCTTCGGGTTTTTAATATTTCGGTGCGTTAACACCGAGGGAAACTTTAAAATTTTATTCTTTTTCGCGTTTAACATTTTGCACATTTAGGTCTTTTTAAGGAACCGCTGTTAAGCGAACGGTGATTGGAGTCTGCTCTCAAGGCTGGACCAGGACCTTTTCGCTAATCAAATATTTATGAACCGAAGTTGGCCGTAAATCTACAAAAAGTAACTAGACGATTAGCGTGTCAGTGTGTGTCTATATTTTTGTGCATAGAATATATAATAAAGCATGCGCATATTTTGCACAATCATATTTAACGCTAAAATATGTAGAATATTTTAAAATGTTATTATTGTGACATATTTTGTTGACCCACTCATCTTGTTTTAACCATCTCTAGACGCAGGCCTTCGTCGCAAATGTTTCATTCGTCCTTCTGTGGCACCGCCCCACTCGTAAAAAAAAAGTAAAAGAAAACGCCAACATAAAGATAGGTCTAACGAATGTTCAGAGATTAGCACATGAAGTGCAGCAGCACCTAATTTTCTAAGGCAAAGTGATCCGACCAGACCAGGCACCACAGACACCCATACCTACACAGAAATATCACCGATTGCTTCCATACTGTTTATATTATATAAAGCAAAAGAGTATTCAACACGACTCGCTTCATTCAAATTTAAATCGTATCTTTGATTGATGCACAATAAAATATAGTTGCAGAAATACTTTATTATTGCAACTAAAACTATACAGGCCCGAGAATACACCTGGTGCTCTATTTGAAATCACCCTCGAATGTCCTGTCACCGAATTGGTTGAGGCCATTTTTGCCCGAACTGTTTCTTCTGATACACAATTGCAACGAAAAGGAAAATAGACGTGGTATTCATAGTCACTGAAGACAAGACACGTAGTGCGTGTCACGTTCACGCCTCTTGGTTCGTAATTGGTCATTCGGCATTCTTATTGGCTAATGCCGCCGTCTCATTGGCTGCCGAAAGACAGCAATATGTTCGGAACTCATCGTACCCTGCTTTCTCTTAGATGTCAATGACCATAGCTGTAAGTACTTTAGGCTGTCGTGCAGATTTGCGTTTCCCGTGGTGAATCTGCGAGGCACTGGGGTACGCTCGTCTGAGTTTGTTAACGCACCGCAACTCGAAGCACGAGAAGAAAAGCTAGAGCCGTACACTTCAGGGATTCTGTTCTGGATTCTTATCTACCCCGCGTTGATCTGGATAAGTATCGCACAAGCGTGCATTCGTGTAACTGTTACCGCGTGATACACCTTAAAGATTTAATGTTTGCAGTAGTACTGTACTGCCCACTAAACGAATTTACAGCAAGAGGCAGGTGGTCTCACTTTAAAGTTTTAAAAGTTCATGCTGTCGACAATTCCAGGATGCTATTTTTATTCTTTTGTGAGACACTTAGGCGTATTTGAGAAAGAAAAAAGAAAAAGGGAAAGAAAACGAAAATATACGTTATATTGTTTATTGATCAACTTAAGCTGTGCGAATACCGGTTCGAATCGAATAGGAGTATATATCATCCCTAGCTTTAACACTGTTAAAAAAACGATATTTGGGACTTTCCCTACCATTGTGAAGGTTATGAATGACGCGGTGCCATTTGATTCTAACCGGTATTCGCACACTTCTAAAACTTAAAACGTATCCAGAAGCATTTTACTTTTGTACTGTAACAGATAAAATATAAAAAAAAATTGGAAGCTTCTTGCTGTCTTCCATGACAGTTTCCGCATCTGACTACAGGGTGTTCCAAAAATCACTGGTGTGCTTTCTTTCAAATAAGATTTCGATGGCAGATATGTGCTGTCACTGTCCATACGTGTTGGCTGAAAGTGGGCTTCGTTTTAAATGACCTTAATGCGCAAACACTCGTGGAATGCAAAAAAAAAAATTTGTCTGGTCTCCATCAAAGCACGAGTTCTATATATGTAGTGAACAACATACTTGCTCTGGTGACAAAATATGTATAGTCTACCGCATAAAACTAAACTGAGATTTTATTTTTATACATATCAGTAGCCCTTGATTCCAAAAACAGCAAGTTAAGTCTATAGTACTTTGATTCCAGTGCCCGATTTTTGACTCACTGTTGGGTTAGCATCTGTTCTTGTGTCCTGACGGTCCCGGCGTTCTCTTCTTCTCAGTGCTGGCCATTGCGCTGCCAATAGCGCTGGCGCTTTTGGTCATGATGCTGTGCTGCCTGGTGTGCTTGTGCCGACGCTGGAAGCGGAGGGCACAGCGCGCCAAGGGACCTTTTCGCCTGGGAGCCGTCAGTCCTCTAGGCGGCACTTTGGACAAGAAGGCCATGATCACAGACACATCGAGCGAGAGCAGTGGTGAACACGCACTCAAGCACTCGTACGCCTTCGACGGCTTCATGGTGAGCCCGACCGCTGTACGTTCACTTCGTTTTCTTCTGCTCACTAAAGGCTGGCTCCTCACACACTTACGTCTGCTTAGAACTGGAGAGGCTAAAAAACCTGCTTTAAGTCTCTCGTGATTGCTTGCGACTGGCTGCGCAGAAGTCGCAAGTGTGTCAAACAGCCTTAATCCGCGGTCCTAACGCCTGCTCAAGAATTCTCTACTCGGGAGCTGATCAGGGTTTTCGAAATAAAATTTGCGAGATACCAATACAACAATCGGTTTCACGTCCATTTTATACTTCTGCCATTCGCAATGAGCCTTGCGAGTTTGACTTCCAAATTTTTCCGAGCATGACTATAAAGTGTAGAGGTTCCCCGTAAATAAAATTGAAACATAGACCAAAATTACATTTTGCACGAGGTCGCCGCGCAGCTGGCCAATAAAATTGTACTTCAGCAATCGCGGGTTTGGTTGACACGATGATAAAAAGAGCATAGAGGTCTCGTCTCGTTCGCCTGCGCTTCTCCATCTCACCACCGGATTTGCGACAGCGGGCAGCTCCTAAGGGCCATGCAGTAAAGATCAAAAAGGGGTACGGTCACCGAGAGCTCGAAAAACGCGGGACGTGGCCTATCGAACATCACATATCACTCTACAACCAATGAGATTGCGAAATCAGCCGATAAAAACGGCCGAGAACGAATCAGGAAATCAGGACAGTGAACAAAAGAAGCCTCGCGTTCCTTATGAGCTGTCAGATAACACATCTTCTCTTATTTGCCGTAAAGCGGGGTTGAGGGGAACCTCCCGAATCGACACCTAAGTTTGAACTGGTGTTTCGCCGCTATATATCGGGGTGTATAGTTTTTGTTGCTCCATTGGTGTGTTGGTGTTGGGCGCAACACAAATGTGCACCACCCAAGGGGACAGAAAAATTAAAGAAAGCTATCAAGACGCCCTTGGAAGTTTTAGCGCAACATGTTTATAAAGGGGCGAAATCTGGGACCTTCGTGGTACATTTCCGTTTGCACACTGTGTCTGCGCAGGATCACAGTCTGCAGTCGAAGAAGTCGAGCCGCAAGAGCGACATGAGTCTCAACCGCAGCCTGTCGACGGGCTTCAGCGTCCCTCACGTGGTCATTCCGCGAGCTAGACATAGTCCCCAGAAACAGGTAAACCAGACCACCCCCAAGGGGCCTCTGGTTATGTGGTGACAACACGCGTGCTAACATAACGCGCGAGCCTAACTTTATTTCAAACCCACTAAAAAAGGAAGAAACAAAAGAAACAGCCGGTTTACGAAGCTTGTACAGACCTCGAAAGAAAAAAAATGCTCGTTCACCTTCGACCTGGAATGCGCCGAGAAATCCCTCCGGCCTCTTTCTTTCCCAAAGCCTCTGAGAAGGACGCGGGACGACATGCTCAAACGCTGAGGTGAACACTGAGAAGTCGACGTCGGCGATATCGGGTGGACGAATCCAGGGGACAGAGGTAACGGGCCCTCTCCCCTGGACGTCCGTGTTCGTCGTGGCATCGCATCCAAGGACGCATGTAGCGTAGGAAAAAAAGTTTTCCGTCGCTCTCCCAGTGCAAAGTGTGACTCGGCCAGCGTCTGATGTGCGCCTGGACACTTCTGGGTGAAATGGACTGACATAAGTGCGACGGCGTGCCCGGACGACGGCTGGCCAGAGCAACGAGGGTCGGACCATCTGTCAACTTTTCAAATACTTTCTTTTAAAACGCGTTGCCAACGCCAGTTGACGCACGTACATTGTTACGTTTACCTCTCAAGGTTTTTTTTAGTCTCCCGATGTCAATGGTTGGCGACCTCTCCCCTCAGGCATGAAAAATACTCTGACGACGTTTCCCGTCGACGTCGAGGACTGCAATTTTGCCGCACCAGCGCAGTATGTTGTTCTCGGCTACTGGGTAACGCTGTAAGTGTCGCTGTGCTCAGAGGCCGGTTATACCGCTCTGAGTGCAGCGACAGTATGGCAGTATTTGATCGAGAGTTTGAGTATTCCGTATAGGAGAAAAACGCAAGCACTGCGCGTTCGCGTTAGCGTTGCATGCTTCACGTTGCGCATGCGCGTCGTCGCCGTGCGTCAATCCGCAATCCAAGACGCAGTTTGTGCTCCAGCACACGCGCAGTGTGAAACACATAACGCTCACACAAACGCACGGTGCGTATACGCGACACAAAAGCTTAGTATTATGAATACCGTAAGAACCACGCGGATAGCACACTTTCATTTTTTGAACATCGCCGCGCGTCTACTTTACCGCAGAGCGCGGAGGCTGTCAATCACAGTCGTTTTCGGAAAGAGGCCTGCGAATGGCGAGGTACCGATAACGAATTAATCCCGGGATCTATCGCATCTTCAAGCAAAGAACGCTGTCAGCTTCTCGTCATTCGGTACTCTGCTTCTATAAATGACAGTAATCAGCCTTCGCGAGCCCTGTGGGAATATAGATGCACGTGTAATCTCCTACGGACTGCGGGATATTTTGTCATACCGACGGTACATCTGCGCAGTCAACACCAGTGAGGGAAATTCAAAGCATTTCAACGTCATCTCCGTGAGATTGAGCGCAGTCCCAGATTGGGCAGGAGTTCTTTGTCGGCGTTCGGCTGGTCTTCGTGTCTAGTCAATGCCTCAAAGGACGCTCGGCGGTGATGGGCTCGGACCGAATTGCTGAGTTGGCGCAATCCGAGTCTGATGACGCTGCACGGAGGTAAAGCAGGCTGTTTATAGACTGATGAGTCGAGGTTGCGTTGGTTCTAGCATCGGCAGGTTCGGACGTCTGTCAAAAGCGCCGTCGAACACAGACCAAACACGTCGAAGGCTTTCGATGTTACAACAGGAAACAATTGAAGTAATGTTCTTGCATGACCAAGTTGACAAAAATTAGCGAGCGACAAGGCCTCGTCAGTATGCCCAACTCTACGTATTAGTAACACCGACAGCAACGTTATCACGGTACTTTTTTTATGTCTGCGGTAAGCGTTCGCCATCTATTGACATAGTGAGACTGCACCATAACTGTTCACACCACCTTCCAGACCTTACAAGAAACTCACGCCGTCTAAATTGCGATATTCACGAATGAGATGTGCCATTGTACCTCAAAGATGTCCGTTTTTTTTTTGTTTTTTTTTGTCTTTGTTTTGGTGCGGTGAAGATATATCGCGTGGACCGTCGCAAAAATTGCCAAAATATAGAAAAATTTCAACAAGTATGCATCAAGCTCCTGGAACAGCATGCGATTTCAACCTTAATCCAGCTTATCACCTAACACAGCAAAGTTTACACAGTGGTGCTATCCCTTTTTCTAATTTAAATAAAACAGTACTGCTTAGTTTATTGTGCCAGACCTATTTTACTAGGCAAAACATCACTGGGCGATTGTGCGCTCTTAAAAAGTGCGGTGATAGTAATGTTATAAGAAAGACAAGATACAAAGAGTGCTTTTTGATACGCCTGTATAGAAGACTATTAACAGTTTTTGTGTTTGTTTTTGCAATGTTTACTTTTTGTTGTGAGAATAAAGAGAAAATAATGTCTAATCCTTTCCACTTGGTGTCAGTGGTGACAGAACTGGGTGGACGATGCATGTTGGTTAAACGCTGCGTTTATTATTTTCTTGGTTTGTATGACTAATTACTTCGGATTACGGGACACATTTAAAAAGCAAAATGGGCTGAAAGGAGCTGACTCGTGACTTCTACTCGTCGTGCATTTATACTATTAACCTTGCTCGCATTTGCACGCAAATTAGTTTTACCCGGTAATCCTCTAGCATCGTCTCACATCGTCAGGCCGAGAGCGTTGATGGGTCGGTTATTATCTGCCCCGAAAATTATAATTTGAGACATGCCTTACTATACACCCGCGAGTTGAGTAAGGACACATTTAAGATAGAATTTTACATTACTTCGATTTAGGGAGTGGATTCTTATAGATACATCTCGTGTAGAAGAATGCCTTCACTTATTATTCTCACGGCACCACCCTTACGAACGTCTTAAGGGTGTACCGTCGGTAAGAGATAGTCGCTAAATCTACAAGAATGGTACGAAAGCGAAGCTAGCTCATAAAAAAAAAAAAAGTTATTTTTTGAAGTTTCAAGCAAGCCCACGATATTGACGTGAAGAAGCAGAGTCGGTGATTACCGTTTGTCACATGTTGCATTCCAGCTATTTTTTTTTTCATAAAACATAGCAAATATGCATAAATAAATTGCAATATGATTCGACGTTTTTTTTCTAATAATTTCTTCTCTGGGCACAATAAATACTGGCAGAGTGCGCTGATTCTGAACACGACCATGACTTGTGTCTATCACTCAATGCTGCCTGGAGTTCCTCAGATAACGCTAACGGTACGCATTAACAGCACGGCACGTGATTAGCGAGCTTTAAAATAGCTTACACATAAGCTTTGCGTACGCAGAGAAAGAACATCTTCACTATGCACCAGCTCAAAACTCAGTAAAGGCTCTGCGCATGCGCAGTGATGATGACTCTACTCCTTTGCTTACGCAAAACGTTTGTGTACGCTATTCTACAACTTCTTATTGACAAGCAATTTTTGCGAGCAGGACGTCAGCTCCTTCAGTTATGATTCGATTCTTTGACTGGGCCCAGTTTGGTACAGGTCACTGAGGTGTCTATGGTTTGCAAGTAGTCTGCGGAAGGTTGCGGGGGATTCGGAGCTCCTTCGGGAGCTGGAAAGGCGAGGTGGGTGGGAGAATGAGGGACCCCTTCCTCCTTGGCCTGTCCTCCTTCCTTCTGCGTGCGTGTGTTGTTCGGGGGAGAGGGCGGAGGGACCAGGCATTTTGGTGTACGGCTGCTCCTAACCCCCGTGGACCCGGCTATCCAGACCCTTCTACCATCCAACACAAACAAACCAAGCTGTTGAACTGTGAGTTAACATTTTCTTCCCAATTTACTCATTTACACACTAATCGGTGTTCCTCTCTAATTAACAGGAGTCGCCTTAACGTGATTATTTTGATTGCACTGCGTGAATGTAGGGCCTGTACGTGTAAATATGTTCTTCGTTAACGCGATCAGGGCATCTTTAATGTAGCGCATGCTTTTGATGTGCGATCATTAACTGTTGGTGAGGTGAGGCCCGCACGCCAGTGGTGCACAACTCTTATGCGGCGATTGTCTTATGAGATGTCAGAGCACAAGTTTGGACATCTATCAAATATTTAAATTGTGTAAAGCTAGAATCGTTATGTGAACCATGAGAGACAAATTTGAAGCGGTAAATGCGCTCGAATTATAATAGGGGATGACAATCTGTGTATGTAGCGCGAAGTCTTGTTTGCCTCCAGACATGGGTCGTATCTTGTTAAATGAAAGTACTCGAATTGACGAAAGAATGCTCTGAAACAATGAATAAAACGTGCTATACACCATTTCACGATGACTTGGCGAACTGTGAGGCTACAGCCTCCGCGGCCGAAGAAGAGCGTCGGAGCAATGAACATGACACCACGTCACGGGTGCGTGTCTGTAAACCTTAAAGCAGCCACGTGCCTTGCTCCGATGCTCTTATTAGGTCGCAGGTTCCGCCACCTCTATAGTTCGCCAAAGTATCCTGAAACGGAGTATAGACTACGTGAATATTGCTGTCTCCAAATGAAGAGTAATATAATTTGTCTACGATGCATAAGCTTTTAACTTGGTAGTCGTTTAATAGTGTTATCGAATTTTATACAGTTACGTTGGTAAACACATTCTAGAAATCGTTTTAACGATTGTTTTGAAAACATATTTTGTCACACTTTTTTTTTAATTTTACGTAGCATTCCCGACCACTGAGCTCCAGCGCACTCGACAAGCTGGGAAGGGAGCCATCGGATGCAGCCAACATGCAGAGCAAGTTGCTTTATGTTCTAGATGGGTCAACATCAAATGTAAGTTGATGACCAACTTATTTTATAATACAATCATAGGGTCACCTGCATGAAAGCGTAATCTAAATGCCGTCTGGAGTCTGGAGTAGCAAAGTCCCGTACCGGACATCCGTCCAGGTTCGACAGCAGTACGAGGCGAAGGGCGACGCTGCCCGCTTCGGCTCCCTGCCCGACAGCAACACCTTCAGTCGCTGGAAGGGCGGCGAAGAGCGCGAGCAGCAAGAAGGTGGCAAGAAGAAGAAGAGCTCCAAGAAGTCAAGTCCCGCTACCTCGGAGAAGAAGGTACGAGCAGCAAAGGCGGGTGGAGATTGCACTAATTTGGGGATGCTGCGGAACCTTACAAGTGACTCGGCGAATTTTTGAATTTTGAGAAGAAATCAACTAAGTTCGGCTAGGGGACAATGTTGTCCAACTTCTGCACATAGACATTAAAAAAAAAAAAAACTTGTGCCGAATTTGTTTTGTGCGGAAGAAAAAATAGCCGTAAAATTTAAAAATAGACCACCAACATTTCCACGCTAAAAAGGCAACACAGCTATATCTAAGCTCCCACTGCAGAACCAGGGAGATCGTATTCAATCCCCTCCCATCCGCGCTTAGATCTGGATGAGCCAGAATGGGCATTGTACCGGCGTGTAGTTTTGAATTACTACTGCCTAATGCATGTTAAAGATTTCGGGCCAGCGGTTGTAATACACTGGCTAAATTTCACATGTACAGCGGATGCACTCCCACTGGGGATAACTAAATAAACGCACCACTGCCTAAATACACACACAACATAATTTTTACTTTTAATGCTTTTGTTCGTTTATTAATCTGAAACAATGAATCAATATCTCAACAAACAGTTCATCCCTTTTCCGCAAGGTGGCGTCAGCTTGTTTTCTATCATCGCGCATGCGAATAATGGTTGAACTTCAGTCGTACTTTTGTCAATCTTTGTAATCGAAGGAAAAAAAAAGTCGAAGTTGTTCTAACTTGAACCTTGGCAGCTTCACGACGTGCCTGGTTGTGATGAACGTTCAAAAAGGGGGCACACCGTCCTTAATAAAACAGACAAGGTGCAAGTACGCTGTGTCTTGGTCTGGGCTTGCAACGATTGTTTTTGCTCGAGCGCTTTTAGTATCAAGATATGGCTCTGCCATGTGAAAAAAAAGGAGAGACGATCGTAAAATGTCGAAGCTCGATCATCCTGCGATAGAAGAAACTAACCAAATATTTAGATAGTCAGGGCTCGAATGGGGGATACCTTTCGTAGCTGGTATTAGGCAGCACAAAACAATTAATGTATTTGGAGATCCCCCTTAGGAAGTGTGTGGAAAGTACGAAGACGCATGCCATATATACAATGTAGTAATCCAGTTTTCCTAGAAATAGTTGATTGTCAAGGTTTTGTTCAGGCTTGCAAATTCTTCTAGTGCACTCGCTCTGATAAAATTACTTTTGAAATTGCTTCGCTTTGATATTTTCAGCACATTGAAATGACATCGTGCGTGTAAATTATTTTGATCTAAAAGATAAAAATAAATACAACAGTGGTTCTAATTACAGCAAATACCGTACGGAATACCAAGTATAACACTTTTTTTTCAGAATCTCGCTTCTTTTATTCCTCATCCGGATTCTTGATTATTATTTTTTATCATAGCGGTTATTCAACTCATAAAAAAAAACAAAAAAACGTTTGGTTATGCGCTAAACAAAACTTAATTTAATGGTGAGGAGGGTAATCTTTTGAATGAATTTGTGACGTTATTTTAATGAAGACACGCAAGAGATCCTGGAAAGGGGTTATATTCTAACTTGGTAACTTTTTTAACTTGATGACCCTTCAGCGCCTTCACTTACCAAATAACGGCGATAAATTTGATATAATAGAAATTTATCGCGCATTAACATTCTAAAACGTCTCAAATGTCAAAATGCCCTCGTCTCGTGCTTTTAAACATCTTAAAAAAAGCGATTCAGTATTTTTTCTGGATTTCAACGAGAGACCACGCACACATGAATCAATAGTCAAGAGGATTAGAAAATCTAAGGGCCTGCTTCCCGGTAAAGCACGCGGATAGTAGTTCACTTTGGTGCATGGGGAGTTTCCAGCAAATGACGATCAGTCAATATTTATTGTCTGAGTTGAAAACATTCGGTGCTCAAGAATAATGAGATTGGCGTTTCAGGTGCTCATTGTACCTGCGCAAATAAGATGTTCAATGCAAAACGCGTTTAGGGCTTCGCCATTCGCTGGGTGGGCTTTGCAGATCGTAGTGGGTAGTACTCCGAGTGCTGGGTGGCGAACTGGACGCTCAAGCATTCTTGTATCTTTGCTTTTCAGGGTGATGATTTTTGAAGAGTATGAATGGTTGTGCAGGAACAATAATCGCCAAAAGTATGTTCCAGCACAAATCATTGTGAAGGTCTGTTTACGCGTGCAGGTCAGCTCTAACTCAGCACCATAGAAACCGCGCTGACCTTGCGCTCTATCAGCGCTGTGTTAGCGCACCGCTGCATTTGACCCGCTTTTCCTTGCCTACTCACACAATGCATCCCTGACCTGCCACTGATTCAGCAGTGAAGTAGCGCTGATGCAGCGTGGGGTTTGCGTATTCTCAGTTTTGACATGCCTGTGTGTACCGACCTTAATTGGTTTTGTCAAGAATTTGACTAATGTGAAGTTTCCTGCGAGTCTTTTTACAACGTCTTAAATTCGACTATTGTCCATCTGTAATGGTTAAAAAGTACAAATAGCGAACATACCCCTGGTGAAAGATGTAAGCTCTCGTACCTAGACAGATCTATGAGCATATGCTCTAATAACCTCCCTATATGAATTTCTCATTATTTCTCCAGTCAAGCCCATCCACGTCGAAGACGCAGCGCCCTGACATGCCGGCGCCCCCTCCACCTCCGCCGCCCGTGCCCATTACGCCGGGAACGTCCCGGTGGCTGGACAGCTCGGCACGAGCCGCTGAACGCATTCAGCAGCAGCAACAGCAACAACAACAGCAGCAAGATCAGAAGCAGCAACAGCACGACCAGAACACGCAGCGTTCGGCGGAGACATCGCAGCCAGTCTCGCAGCCGTCCACGTTCTCGAGAGAAATTTCCAAGTTCCGGAACACCGTGGTCGACTCGGCACAGAATGCTGAAGATGTTTACGGAACCAACACCTTCACAAAAAAGAGGTGAGCTTTCCATTTCGTTCTGACCCCTGGTCGATCACTTAGGCGTCTGATCTAACATTTGCTTTTTACTGTTTGTTTGGGTGGTTTCATACCGCCACTCTGGTCACCCAATGCGGTACTATTCCCGTATACACAAGTCTGCTTATCGCTAATGCAAGACGGTTTGGGTCTGTAGAAACCATTTTCAGTGGCTCTGTGCAAGTAAGAGACAACGGGAAGGGAATGGAGGTTCAGAGTTATAGCTGGATGCAAGTGCAAATATATTATATTAGGCTGTGATTAACTATATCTTACTCCCCGAAATATAGAAGACAAGTTATGTGTTTTGGTGAATCTACTATTTTTAGGTAGCGTGCAGTCTTTCTTTGGGGGGGGGGGGGGGGGGGGAGGGGGGGAGGGGGGGAGGGGGAGGGGGGGAGGGGGGGCTTTGATTGCATAAGAAACTGCTACGCGATATTTCGCCGTTTTTTAGCACTTTTAGCGCTATGAGTCTTCGTGGAGGCGACCAGTGCAGGCTATCATGAAACAACGCGTTGTTCCATACATCATATGTAATCATTCACCGCTTCTGTCACAACAAGATTACCGAGATGTCTAATGCGTTATCGTGTGCGACTTTTCTCGATTGGGGGAGACGTTAAAGCTGTAGGCATAAGCTCTTCAGGTACGACGCCACGTGATCTCAATTTCAGCAGGCTTAATGACAACGCTTGAATAAGCTATTAACTCTGTGTTTTCAGCCTCACCAACCGCACGGACGCAGTCGGTAGTACCATCCGAGTGGTACCAGTGTGGAGTCCACCGAGGTCAACAATGCTTTGTAGAGAGCACAAAACGATTGCTTAGAATAGCAAAAGAAGTTTAGCACAAGAGGACAGGGAAACTGAAATGTCACTTTCATTAGGAAACTGTAAAAACAAGATAATACTAATTTTCTTCTTTTTTTCTTCACTTCGTTTTGTAATTGAAATTTTCAGAAGTGCAAATTTTGTGGTAAAACAAAATAAAAGCTTGTTCGGTGCAGTACGTGGAAGTCAAGGCACGAAACATTGTAAGTTAAATGTCAAAATATACGTTCGTCGATTATGCTACAAACAGATAGCAGGTAAACGAAAGCGCGTAGATTTAATTAAAAACTAAACCGAGAGATTCAGGCGACAGAGACCCAGGAACAGGAAAAAAAAATGAATGTACGACACAAAAGTTCACTATTGTGTCGTTACCCCCCTTTTTTGGCGGCGCTTCTGGGTTGCTGTGTTAAAGGTTGTGCGTGTTGGTATCTAAGTTACAAATAAATCAGTAAACAAAGCTACCATGTTTCATTTCGAAATTAAAAAAAAAATACCGTAAGCTTTTGAAAGGTTTTAGTACGTTCCGAATTACTCTCGTGAGAGCTTAAATATCCTTGCAATTAAGCATGTGGAAGACTGATCTTATTCGAGCAAACTAAACATAAGGAATTAACTTCCGTCGGGAATATTGACGCTCGTCTTTCGCCAGTCCGACAATAATTTCTTCAACTTTTCCGTGTTTTTTACTGCCAAAACACGCCTGCCTCACAAATGTGTCGTGAAACAGCTGACGATAATGCCACGAGGATCACCGTGACGTTCCAATTCGAATGTTTGTGTCGCAGCATGGCTTGAAGAATTCGTTCGTAATCGGCAACAATGTATTTTTAATCTGTTTCTGCAGCTGACAAATAAACCTCGAAGACTTTCTCCAAGATTTCAGCACCTAAGTAAAGCAACAAATGTTCTCTTACTTAGGTCGCATATACGTGTTTTCGCTGTCTTCCACTGTTGAAACAAAACAAAACACGAAAATGAATACGTAGTTTCTTATTCCCAAAGACTGGCAAGGGTATTGTGGGGATTGTTTAAATTATTTAGTTTGTCTTTTCTCTCAGCACCATCTCCGAAACTGGACGCTCTTACGACGAGACCACCATCAGGCCGGCTGTGAAGCGGCTGCGTTCCTCGGGAGTCCCCGACGACGCTGTGCCAGGCACCTCCCGAGGGGATACCTTCCACGAGGTGGGCTCGCCTTAACATGCAAACAACCCGATCGTTGCTTTTTGAGGTTGTGATCAAATAGGTGTTTCAGATATGGCCTTATAAATTGCATTTTATGTCTTAAATCGAAACAACAATGAAACCGACGAAAAAGACTGCTTATCAACAAGTACAAAAAAAAATAATTGATAACATCTAATGCCGCATATATTGCCTTGTTGAGTGCTAAATCTTCATTGGCCACAAAGCGGCCATGTTCATTTATTTGAGAATGTATCTTTTTGAGGTAAATCAAAAACATCCCGATGTAAAAACACTATTTTCCTCTTTCCATCCGAAAACTTAATGATTGACTGTGCTCACCAGGAACTGATGCTCATTTCCATTATGAAAGGACGACTGCGTTCTTGAAGTACACGGGTGTACATTTGAAGACGCACATGTGAAGAACATTAGGCAAACAAAGATAACGGTATTTTCGTTCGCGCTGCGTGTCGCATATTAAATTTTTGACGTGCGTTAAATGGTAAAATAATATGCGGAGTTCGCTTTAGTTTTAAAACACACCTTACATCAAAATATTCACGATACAAAACCGCAAAGTCCCATTTCATCACGTAATGTATTTTTCTAAACATTTATGTAAGTAGTTGAAAGAAATCCGGCAAGCCAATTTTATTTTGTGCCTTTTAATTATCTCATTTAATATAATAGCCATAACGCGGTGACGTATTTTGTCAAGATGTTCAATAATTTTGTCACAGTAGTGTTCAAGCGAGACGCTTGTATGTCTCTTCTTAAAAATTAAAAAAAAAGCAATACTAAAACCTGAAAACATCATATTAAGCATATCCCAAATAGCCAATACAAATTCCGACTGATGAATGGACAAAAAGTATATTTTGCAAAGATTGCTTTGGAACTCAATTTTTTTTAATACAACATTTTATAGGAAATTTTCCTAAATGATGCACCACAATACTTGCAAAGTGGTGCACATATGCTCAATATATTTATTGATGTGTGCGTTGCAAACACAAACGCTCTCATTCAACTGAAAGCGCGAGATGGACAAGCACATAAGAACACACCACAACGCGCCACTATCAACTAACATGACTGAATAGGACTTCTATTATTTATTCCTACTCCTAGAAATACCGACGTGTGGAATTCAATTCGTTTTCCTGAAAGATCCAGCGATGGGTTACTTTTACAATTGCTATCACCTTGAGTTCCGACGTCGAAAGCTTGTAAGACTTTGGCCGTTTTACTTCGAAGTCTGCGGAATTGTTTTCTCCCATTCGAAGACACAGGCGCATTTATCAGAATAAAAGTCAAGATGATTCGACGCTGCCTCGCTTTGTCCCGAATTACTCTATAACTGTGTCGTTGTGAAGAAATTGAATTCAATGCGTGGGGCATTTTGAAATGTGGGTTAAAATAGTTCGCAAAAATTTCAGCAAATGTCAGTTGCTTGTAGCTCATTTGGGGCGTCCTTTCTTGTCCTTAAATTTCGGGAGCTCTATGGGTATGTGCCAACCTGCTCATTTTTTCCCACTCTACACAATCCCGTCTTTTATTCGGGGATTACTTTTCAAATTATCTTTTGTACCTGGTGATCCTCTTTCTTCAGTTTTCTTTTACATTACTCTGAAAATCGAATCGCCTTTTCAATATAATAGTTTGCATAATCGAGCTCTTGTTTTAGAACAGGGTCTCTTTTGTGATAAGAAAAAAGCCAAACACGAAAAGAAGTATGACAACGGACGTGTGTGTTGGCTTCCAGTTAGCAACAACATTTATTTCTTACACCAGCAGGGCTCAACTCCAGGAAGTCTCGGTCAGGAAAGGAGAAGAGGGCCAGTAGAGGGAGAGATAAAGTGCGACAGTGGGCAGGAAATGTGAATAGATTGGAGAAGAGAGGCGACAATGAACACGTGCTTTAGAGAATTGACTATCAAGGAGGTCGAAAATATAAGTACGGCTCAATAGACGACAAGAGGGTAGTTGTCCCCCGTATATCCCTGGTTCGAGAAATGCAGAGGTAACCATAAAGCCTTTTGTTAGTTCGCTGTACTAGCGCTCACGATCCGTATTTCGGGTTTATAGGTCTGATTGGTTTTCGCTTTTATAGCGTGCGTATTCATTCTTGTATTTCTTCTCCCCTATATCCACTTTTCCCGCTCCAATGTTACACTTTCTTTCTTCCTCAGTTGACCCTCTTGTCCTTTCCAAACCAACGTCTACTGCACCTGAGTTCTGCTCTTGTAAAATAAATATAAACTAGCACGGTAGATCGTACATATTCGCTACCATTTCCCTTTTCGTGTTTGAATTTTCACTTAGTACATCAGTCAACAAGCTTGTTAAAATGTCAATTTTCTTCATCTTCGTGTTTATCTTAAATGGTTGTAAAGAAATTAGGGTCGGCTAATGAATGAATATTTTATTGCGGCTTTTGCTGGTCGAGATATTCGCTATAATATCAAACTTTTACCACGGTGTTGCCTCGAACGTCTTTTGTTTTTTTGTCTCCTCCGTTTCTGAGGGGCTCTAACGTGGATGTGTAAAGCACGAAGCGTGGAATTGTTGAAGTAGGCTTATATTTAATATATATTCTCTCATGAGCAGTTTCTCGTTGCGGTAACTCTAGACGTAATAAAACATTAAATGACCACCTTCTCCAACCTGGCAATCGCTGACTGACCAGGATTGCCTCTTCGTAGAGGAGAAGTGATAATATAGAAAGTAAAGAAGGTCGTTGTCGACGGGTCATAGAGGAAGGAGGTATCAGTGGCGTTTAGAAGTGGGAAGTCTAAAATCATCGTTATTTCCATGGCAGTTTCGAATCGTAAGCATATTTTGCGACTAGTGTTAGTCGATTTCTGAGGATTTATTCGAAAAACGGAAGATTTTCTTCACAAAAATTAAAGCATTTTCAAACCGCTTCAATTTTTTTTCTAAGTTCATCTATGTGGATACCTTATCTTGGCTATTTGTGAAAACAGGAACGTTCAGTATTCGATATTAAAACGTATTTATGTGTTTATTTTCAAACATTACATTTTTCAGTCAGAAGACGTAATATAATTGGTAAAGAAAAAACTTCAAAGTCAACTCAACTTTCCAACAGCCATACAACGGCGTAGAAATAATACACCAAAATAACGTCATTAGGACACTAATCATAACTTTGAGAAGGGAGCGAACGAAACATAAAAACATACCTTTCTGACTTCATGGGGGCTACAGGAACCGTAGTGCAGAACAAAATAAAACTTGGTCAAGAAATATGTAATTCCCATTAACGTGTACCCAACGAAAGCCCCATGATCGTTCATATAAGTGAGTAAATGAATTAATATAAATGGGCGTTATTTATTCAGAAGTTGCGGAACAGAACTTTATTTTTAATCTAACCAAATTATTTTGATAACAAGAATATGCATGTTCAAAACATTCATGCATTCGTATTGCATTTCGTTTATGCGCTACGCCTTGCGCATGATTGAACGTCACATTATTTCAATATTCACGTGACGTGAACAGCTCCACGGCTGCAAATACCACACGTAATGCATCATCCAAAATACAATAGATTTATATTTGACTTTAATAAAAAATGAACAAAAAAATTGCTTTTAACTTTGTCACATCATAAAAGGAATATAAATATACAACAAAATGAATTCCCTAACATATACGCCTAGGTTATTTCCTCCCATAATTTAGGTTTCCATTCAGCAACCCTTTTGTGCAGCGCTATCATTTGTTTTCACGCTTTATGTCTATGTAAATGTGCCGGTTCTACACACAGTTGTAGATGTTCCACACGCGATGCACGAAAAGAAAGAAAAACGGTCGAATAGCGGCATGAATACTACCGCCCTCAAACTTATCCCGCGATTCAAAAGTCACTTCCCCTTTGCCGACGATCGAAACCTACGTTTTTCGTCCTGAGCCTTTGTTCTCGTCGTCTCTATAAATTGTGATGTGTGGAATTTGTAATGTTTACGCATTAATAAATAGATTTGAGGCTGTCTGGGAATTTATTGTAAACGCTCTGGCGCCCATATTAATAATAATCAATCAATCAATCAATCAATCAATGTTTTTTTAAGTTTATTGAAGTTCAATAAAGGCTAAAGGAACTTTAGCCTTTATTGAAGGCTAAAGTTCCTGGGCATTGAAGTGCCCAGGAACAACCTTGCGGTCTTAGTACAGGTGCACTCAGGAAACATGAAAAACAACACTACACACAAGAAACAAACAGTAAACAATAAAACACTTAAAAAAGATCAGATATGTCACATAAACTCGCTAGGCTATACCACCACGATAGCGAAAGGAAAGGAAAGCGAGAGTATAAAAATTGATTCTGAGCAACTTAATCAGGTGCAAAAAATGGGAAGCCAAATTTAGGTGAGGAACTTTAGCGCTCTGATGAACTCCGGTGTGTTATTGTTAAATATATCAATAGTGTCTGTAAAAGAGGAATTGTAGGTGTGCCCAATTCTCGACACGGGGTCGTGAAGATTAGTTACGGGAGCATTGTAGAAGGATGCATTTTGCCGTGTAGGTTTTACGGGAATTTTCAAATGCACATTTGATATCAATGATGTGCAGTCAGTGATGCCATGAATAAGTTATTACAGAAATAGGATGTCGGCATGTTCTCTCCTACGCCGCAGGGTGGGCAATGCCAAGCTATGTTGGACTGGGACTGCTGGATCATCGTTTGAGATAGACGCATTGCGCGACGAGAAACGATGTCTGTAGATACATAAGAACTTATTCTGAACACGTTCGATTCTAGCCGAGGTTGTCGCGCAGATTCCATTCCATACAACAGAGGCAAACTCGACGTGTGGTCGACATAGATCACTGTACAGTGTGACAAAAGTACTAGGGTTATTAAACTCTTTAGTAATGCGGCACGTGATACCAAGCGTACGTAAAGCTGAGCTCACACTATGGTCAATAATAATAATAATAATAATAATAATGTTAGCAGTATA